GGTTTTCACGCGGTTTTTTTAGTAGATTGAGTGATTGAAGGGGATGGTTTGTATGTATAATGACATTAAGTTAAAAAAATTTGAATCAGCATTGCACCTGTAAAAGCCTCGACGGGTCGCTTGTTGTATGTATGTATATATGTATGTACATGCCAAATATGGCTGAATTAGGCTGTAAGTTGAAGGACGAAGGGATTGTCGTGAAAACCGAGTTGTTAGGTTAGGTTAGAACTGTGAACTGCACAGAAATCAAATAAACGCAACCATCACAAATAAACGACTACTCAAATTGTACTGCAAAGGGCTAGCTGATTATTTGAACGGCTATTTAACCGGTTTCCTGCGGCATATACATAAATCCAGTAGTTAATTAGTGAAATTCGACATAACTCCAATATCGTCCATCACCGAGTTGGGTATTTGATTTACAATAGCAGAAATCTTTATTTACGTAAATAAGTAAACATTCTTAATTACCTAAATATACCGTCTACTTGGTTAATAACTATAAAACCTTTTTCACAAATCTTGATGGTAACATAAGGGATAGAAAACCATATCAATACGTGATACTTAATGAAATATCACTTAACGAGTTTTCCGTTTACAGTTCATATTGTTGTTTTTTCAATAGAAGTTTTAATATTAATTCAAATTAATTTTAACAATGGTATTAAAAGTATTCATTGGTATTGAAAAAACCCAAGCATCTCGTTCTCAAGATTTTCCCAAGTTCCTCAACTATCTAATAATATCCCTACACTTCGTTTGTTCGAACAGCTCGTAATAATTTCAATTTACATTTTATAATCTCGCTTGGGTTTAACAGAGGAAGAAATTTACGATAAGTATGTTTTATTTTGTAGTTATATTCTAATCTATAGGTACTAATAATATTATATATAAAAGAAAGTCGTGTTAGTTACTCCACTTGTAACTCAAGAACGGCTGAACCGTTTTAGCTGAAAATTGGCAGGGAGGTAGTTTAGAGCCAGGAGAACAGAGGTAGGTACAGTAGGGTAGGTAGAGTAGGATAGAGTAGGGTAGGTAGGGTAGGTAGAGTAGGGTAGGTACTCAAATGACGGGAGGTAAGAGCTAGTAATATTATAAAGCTGATGAGTTTATTTGAACGCGCAAATCTCCAGAACTACGGATTCGAATTGAATAATATGTTTTGTTTTATATATTCCATTTATCAAGGAAGAGTATAAGTGTAAAAACAAGCAAGCAAGCAGGAGAAGCTAATAATTAATATGATATTTTAGGTGAATAGTAGTACTGTCGCTTTGCACTAGGTTACTTTAGGTACTACAAAGTATAAGCAAAGTATGGAAATTATTATAAGTATTATTGTTTTTTCTTCTGGTATTGTAGTTATACTACTTTTTTTTACCTTTAGCTTATTCTTTTCTAACTTCTATTGTCACAATAATAAAATGTTTTGTGTTATATTCTGTGATAGTTCTTTACATACTGCCATTCAAAATCTCCATTGATTTGTCGATATAAAACGAGAAAATTCTCGTAAAGTAAAAACCTTGTTTTACTGCATTTTGTATTGAATTTCCATTTACCTTAACCCTATTTCCAGCTAAAGTATAGATGTCACAATCCACGACGCCACATTATGTTGTTAGTAAACATCCAGTCGTGGCCATAACTCGAGATCCCGATATACCCACCGTCACCTTCTACGACGGTCACAATGTCAAAGGATTGTCCTAGAATAACTAACAAGGTCAACCTGGAAAATGGTTTCCATCTCTCATCTATTAATAGCTCGAGCTTCTTTGTTGAAAGACAAAGACCTTACAGCACTCTTAATTAATAATATTCAAAAAGTTTACGTAAATATTTTCCATTTCTTGGTATATAGGTAAGTGTATACACCACGCAATATTACAACACACAAAAAAAAATATCAGGTCGTACGTGTCGTGACAGCTGAGGAAATAGAATATGCCTTCTATCGGAAGTTGTTTTAAAGTCTGATCTTCAGTTGTTTATAGCAGATCTATTTATAAAGCAGTTGAATGCGGGCCAAAATTCGATAAAACGTGATGTTTGAGGGTGATGCACGTGGGCTGTATGACGCCATACAGCCAGACAACACACATACCTAAATAAGTAGGGTTATCTAATGTAAACATATGAGACATTAACAACAATAGTCAAAATGAAATTAAAAACATCAGTCAATGAAATATTTCCAACATCATAAGTCCTACATCAGTGGCTTAGTCGGAGTTTTGAAATGATTAATTAATTTATAAATTATTTTAACAGTCAATGTGACAACCCTGTGGAGGACACGTGTAAAACGTGATATAAATATTAAGAAAACGAGGAGAAAAATATCTGATCAAAGTATCTGTTTACGTTAACGAGATAGGTACGAAGATTGTTCATTTCGATGGTTTTTGGCTTCACTTTCATCTCTAGGTCAGAACTTCCACATTTACAGTCCATAAACTTTTTAACCTTTGATTTAGTTTTTAATTACAAGTGTTATACCAATATTAACAAACGTGTCGGAGGCATTTTCTTAAAATGCGTTTGTTTGTTGAGAAAATTACAACAAGAAAAAAAAATCCAAATAAATTTTGCTTCTGTATTGTTATTTTATTATAATTGCAATCGATGAAAAAATTTAGATATCTTGACCGTTCCTGGTTTGGTTAATTTTAGTAGCTTTTTAAAGCTATTAATAGCTACTAAAATTTTATCATTGATTGCAGTCTTTCAATCAATACGTGCATTATTCTGATTTTTCAATAGTCAGATAAATATTATCTGAGGAATAAAATTGTTGCTGTCACTGTCTTATACAAACATTCTGACATGACAGCATCATAATTATTCCCCAGATAAATTTTATATAACCATTTAAAAATCAGGCCTAAAACAACTAAGTTATTAAAGAATACGACGAAAATCAAAGTAGGCAACTTTATCATTTTAATCCTACATCATCATCCATGACATCTTCTACATCTTGATGACTTACTGCGACGTCCTCTCAACAAAGAGGCACAATGTTGTTCATTTTCTGAAAATTGTGCATTAAACGGAATCTCTATCTTACAGGTTCGTAATTTAAAATACTAAGACTATACTAATATTTTTTAGTAGTTTCATTACAGAGCACACTTAAATAGTTTTTAAAACTATGAACAAAAGGGAGGACACAGATACTTAAAAAATTAGCTGCAAGATAAAACACTGAAAAAAATAAAAATAGTTATCGATACGAGGTCACTTGTCGCCAATGGCGCCGACCTTGTGTCTGGAAATATATCACAAAATAAAATATTTTCTAATAAACAAAATGAAATCAAACATTTTTTGTTCTGGCAATAAATTAGATAGTCTACTTTATAAACATCCTGTTATGAGATTGTAAATGACGTTGTTTTATACAGATTAAAAAGTCGAAAGTTTAGAACGAATGATATTTGAATATCATTGGGAACTATTTTTAAGAATGCAGTAACTGAAGTGATATAAATAACTCTTTCGGAATTTTATTACCTACCTGCCCGTCGATTTCTCCGTCTAAAATCTATATTTTTGCATCCCGATTTTTGTAAGATTCGAACTCTCTATTTCACTTTGCAGATAAATTTGTTAATACTTCAATGGATTAAACAAAATGGTCGGAGGAGAAGTATTTATTCGATATATTCGATAATTCGTAAGTTACCACAGCTTGGAATTTTTAATAAACCTATGTAAGGAACTAAAACTTTTTTAAATAACTTATCGTAAGCATACACTCAGATTGTCAAGACAATAATTTAAAAAGAGAGAAATACAAATAATAAAAATGGAATCTACGGCAAAACGGTTCAATCAATTTAGATTCTGCTTAATATACAAACAACCTTTAAAGGCAAAGCTTTGCTCTGTGTCATTTGAGGATGTGTGAAGAAATATCTATAACTTATAACAACCATTGGTGGATTTAACATACATACTCGTATAATTTGAACGTGCAACCTACTTGACAGTTGCAATTGAGTAATTTCCTAGGTCAAAAATAAATTAATTCGACGTTTCAATATAATAAAATATATTGAAAAATAACTACATCCTTTTATTCATCGATCTGCCGATACACATTTGTTTGATATTTTTAGCATTTTTTTAAGAAATAAAGTAAAAGCTATTTGGCTCAAAAATACTATGACGTAAAGATTTGGAGTTTCATACAAATTTCATAGAAAAGTATCGTATTTGACATTGTTAGTTGGAAAGTACCGCATTGCTAGGTCTCGACTAATGCAATTCAGTAAAGTAAAACAAATGCCAATAACAAGATTTTGTTTGTCATTGATTGAAATAAGTTCAAGTATGAAATTATCACATACACATACCATAGTCTATAAACAAAGCAGATTCATTAACGTGGAATGTATACGTAAAGTTGAATCACCCACAAAGTTGGATAATCTCAGGTGGACGCTGTAACCGCCGCTATTTCAGTACTTTCACGGGCGATGTGAACTGTATGTTGGTACATACAGTTCACTCCCATACATCTACGCTATACATCCCATGTGGGAGGTTTTAATCGCTTTCCCAGAATATTCTACTTCGGATGAAGTAATAGAATAATAAATAAACAGAATATTCTTTGTTATGCAAATATCGGATTAAAACTTTGCAGTCCCGACGAATGATCACGTAGGAAAAGCTAGTCTTCGATTAATCTTTGTTGTATAAAATGAAATCATAACTAAGCAGTTGAAACTAGTTTAATGTTTCATATTTTAAATGGTTTGTTTCTTAATGTTTTCCGCTCCGTTTTTGTACCAATGGACTGTTATTTAACGAATTTGTAAGTTTTATGATTCCATTTCATGAGCTACTAGCAAAAACTTAGCATCCGGGAACCACTGTAGGCACATAAGTAGTAAAACACGGGCAAAATAAAATGTTTATTGAATGGTATGGGCGGGTGGGCGGCGGGAGCGGGGCGGGCGGCCGGCAAGTGTGGTTCGCGCCCGTCGCGGCCAGTGCGCGCCCGCCCAGGTCCGACACTCGACGTCGGCTCGTCAACGAAACCACACAACTCTATTTATTTAACGACCATTATTTAATCGGTAAGAAACTGAGCAGTGTCTCATCGCTAAGTCCGCAAGGGTTGTGCCAAGTGTACCCCACGTGGGGTGTTCGCCGTGCGCATCATCACTCCCCAAAGTTCGTAGCGCCGTCTCGCTCTAAAGTTGCGCAATTGCGACTTCGTCTCACTCGGTTCGCGACTATGACTTAAGTCTAGTTTGTAATCTCGCGGGTGATTAGTCGAGATAAGCGGAGATAACCGGGTAACATTTGTTCAGCAGCACGTAAGTCAAAGCCACGTTATTCGAAAGTGAACTATAAAATACATGTGGAAATATTCAGTAATTTCTGTTTAATAGAACAACATTTCAAGAAGGATTTTCTAAACATTGGTCAGTGTTTATTATAATACACACACCGAATCATAAACAGTTTGAAATTATATAAATAATAAAAATCTTGGATAGTTAATTAGAAATATTTGCAAAGTGAAATTACTAACACTTTACTTCTTTTGTTTTACTAACTATGAGTATTGTTATACTTATTTGAAACAGATCGCTGTAGTTAGTTCGACAATACTTAAATTAATGTATCTACTATTAGTTTGAAGACTACACCTGTTCAAATGAAACTTTTTTGTAACTTAGGTATTCAGTCCTTTTGCGTAAATAACGGACTCATTTTTTTTTTTTAGTTCAAATTAAGAACTTTAGTGAATTCCTAGAGACATAATACTGGAAAATATCCTAAAATCTCTCAAACAGTTGGAGTTATAATAAAGACATTTGATAGACATGTTGAAGTAATCATTTATTACATAGCTGTGCATAGCTGGTTTGAGTAGGTATCTACATAAGTCGCCGTAGTACGCGTACACGTACCGCGCACCTGTGGCTGCGACAATGCGCCGGATCCGGGAATGCTGTGAATCCGATCCGGCCGCGCGCGCGCCTATTTTCAGCCACACTCATCCCGCGCCAAATTTGCAATCCCGCCAAATCGACGCGCCTCCATGTATTTTTGTAACCGTTTCACAATCGACTAGCTTTTTTTTTAACAGCCAGTCCACCTCGTTCTGATACCTACATACTTAACCTTCAATTTCAGTCCGGACTAAATACCGTGGATTTTTATAGAGGTACCAAGGACACCTACTGCAATAGTAGTAGTACTATGGAATGGACTATGGAAATGTGTGAAGCAAAACATATTTGACATTGGCCTTAAGTCTTGACCTAATTCGTAAATCAGGTGGGCAGCTAAGATCCATCCTGATATTAGGAATCGTGTGAAAACTTATCAAGTAGATACAAAATCTGATAGTTTTCAATACCAGTGGTAAATTTTTCTTATTAAATGATACCATCAATTTCGGTATTAGGTTACATACTGTATTTATTTTTAAATTATTACTAGTTATAGTAAATTCATTTGGATAAAACAATAATTTAAACAAAAGCTTATGATAACAAACGACAAATGAATTAGTTTTTCAGTAATATAGAAACTAGTGTCAATCAATTATGTTAGTAATAGACAACTTGGGCAAATCGTAACCTAACCTAAATTCATTTATAAATTAACTACTTAAATTAAATTTTAATAAAACGTTAATTAATGTCGAGGATTTGGCACCTTACACTTTTCTCAAATGAAGTTTGAATGTTGCTAAATATTGTTGGCATTAATTAATTTTTTGAATTAGAAAATCACAATTTTTTTTTTTGAAAAATGGCAAAATCGCTTCCAGCTTTTGGTAAACGTCTATTATTGATATAATAGAATAATAACTATTTTGAAAAAAAAGCAGGAAATGGGACCTCGGCTCCTAACGGAAGTAACGCCAGGATGACTAATAATTTTGAAACATTGCATGAAGCAATCGAGGAATATTAAATCCCTATTGGTAACCGCGCCTTATAGTTTTATAGTAACTTTAAAATTATATAGACGCTAGTTAAATGACTTGGTGACTTGGTAAAGCTCATAGAATAATAATAAACACGTACCTACACTAAAAAATGTCTAAATGCTTAACCTTCGATTCCCATCGAATTGGGAAAGAATATCTGCTTGCAGCATTGATCAGAGAGCATAAAATATTGCGAGCATTCCATAGTTTGTGAAGTGTTTTCTGTTATCTGCACAAACGCCAATCTTAACTGAGAAACTGATGAATGTTGTTTCTCTCCGACTAAATTTAAACCAATGACGCACATCAATAAATAAACCCAACAAAATCCAGAGATCTCTGTGAAAAATAGATTTACTATCGTTTATAAACTAGATGCCTCGCTTGTTTTTGTTAGCTCGTTCGTATAAGTTTGTGCAGTTATGGTGATTAACACATGAACATGATGTATTTAGCGTGAATTCCATTTCAATTTAAGTAGTAAACTATGATAAATATACTCTTTAAATAAATTTTAAGCAATTCAAATTAAACAAAATCATAAAACAAAAAAGAACCGTGAAATACAATAGGGTCGCGTCGTTGCCGCATCAATCCGTCCACACATACCTCAGCTCGAAGCTTACATAATTAGAAATTGCGGCAGGCCGCTGACTTATCCACAACGTAACTCGCAACAAGGTCGTCACAAACTCGAAAATAGCTGAGCAATGAGTAGACATTAGTAAAAACGGCTGTTTTCAAGTTTCTCCTCGACACCAGTTAGATTGGCGTGTGTCCAAGTCCACGGGCCATTCGACACGAGCCAGCCACCGAGACGGCTATTTGCGGCCCTGCTGCTAACTCTTGCGTACGTCACTGCTCTATTTACGAGGCACGAGCACGCTATTGTACTCAATTATGTCACCTGGACACATCTCTCAAACACGTATATTGACAATCTCAAGGTTAAGCTTATGTTTATTGGTGACGCACCTTACACATAGATCGCACAACTCTTGCTGGACTTACAGACATACCTATTCATGAAGAAGCAAATGCTTACAGAGATAAACTTTTTTACAGAACACGAGCACGACATAAACTGCCAAAATGTTTAAAAGTCATTTAGAAATGATTGGCAGAAATGAGACGCCATCGAAGAAAGCCAGATTTTGGCAATCCTTCGTGCGATCTCTCAAAGGTAAGCATGATATATTTTCAATTAATTTTAAATTAATCTTGGATACCAATGTATCCAGGAGTGGGTCGGTAGATTATGGTTAGTATAGAATACTATCATCCTTTATCCCAGGATCGGAAGACATCAGAGCCGAGGAGAGATACAGGCCCAGCCGCCGTAGCGTGTTCCCTGAGCTCTTGAGCACTAGCTACCCCTACACCAAGTCTATCTACGATGACCCCATCGGCGCCGCTGAGAGGATCACCGTCCCCGGATACCGTTACCTGCCCGTCCACCGTGAGGTTTACGGATACTCCCCACGCCCCATCTATGCCCACAACTACGCGCGCTCCCTTGACTCGTACAGGCCAAGTTAGTATCACATTGTTTACGTAAGACACAGTGCAACACACAAAACACAAAAGCTACACTAACAGACTTGCTAATTGACCACCGAATTGACAACTAATTTTATTGGAAAGCTTCATAAACAAAAATAGACCAATGTTGATAGATCACCTGTTGGTAACAGTTCAATAGGTAATCGATTGGCAAGTGCATCACTCACATTGACACTTCAATTTGGCAATCAAAGATGATACCTTTGACCGCCTGAGCTATTCTGCCTAGAATAAAAGTAAAAAGTGTTACAATAGTCAATAACAACTAGTTTTCAGAGAGCAATGCTAAAATGTTCATTGTAAATATTACATTTATTTTCGGTCTTGAATAATATTGTACATAGTGAGAATTATGATAAATAACTTTCACAAAGGAACCTTTAATACAAAATGATCACACTCCTTACAATTGTCTTGTAATTAAATAGAAGATTATTATTCTAGTTCTGTAGTTTTTACTTCAGTCCTAGAATCTATTTCAACATTTTGTTTCAGCACAAAAGGTCTCCGGGAGAGTATAGATTAAAATTCGGGACTTCTAAAATATAATAAACACTACATAAACAATGTATAGTCAGTCATATTGTGAGATCATGACATTATCTAATAATGATCACAATTTCACAAAAACAAAGAAACAATTTTATAATGATTTTATAACAAGTCGTTGCGGGCTATTCTGCCGGCTATATTTTACTATGTAACAAAGTTTTATATTATAAATAAAGAATTTTATCATGAACTTAAGATGGTGTCCTGCCTGACATCAGCTCGAAGATTAAAATTGGTTGAATCGATCTAACATTACATGGAGCTACATACAATCATATATTCGGTTCTGTAGAAATTAGTCGTTTCGTAATGTACCACAGTCGTAGTGAAGATCGCATTTGTTGTTTTCTTTCGTGAACGCGAACGTTGTTATATGTAATATAATATCTCACGTTATAAAACACGTGCATAAAATGTACAGTCATTTACATAGTGAAGGTGTCTCATTAATATTAGCTTCCATTGTCATTCGGATATCCGTACTGGATGGCGTCGATGTTGTTGCTTGTGCTAGTTACAACTTACTAATACAAAGCATGTATCATTTGATAGAAATCACCTCTCTTTACATAACATTACACTCAAAATCCATGAATGTTATATCGACTTCACAAGCTGTAACTCGATCTTCTAGCATTTGTCAGGTGACATATGTTTATTATTTACCCCTTTATAATACTAATTGCAAATTAATAAGCCCACAATGATTTCTTTATCGGCCCTCCCGGAAAGTTGATGTAGAGGTGAGTTCTATGAATAACTTTCATGATTTACTGTGAGTCCCTCGTCATTATCACAAGTTTAAATATATAAAGCTTAGCTCCACTAACAAATTACTAACCTTATTATAAGTGTACCTATAAATAATTCATTTGTATTTTATTTTCATTATGCTAATACCTATGTCGTCTCTTTTAAAATTGCCATATATAAATGGTCTACCTACTATTAATTTCTTTACCTTTTTATCACACTCCATGTTTCTACACTTATTCTCTACAGTTTTTCTTCAAGTGAGTGTTTACAAAATCTGATGTCTGTTTTCTCTTAAATGGTTCTATCGACGAATCCAGTGTTTGAATAGTCTTGGAAATGAATACAAAAATGGCAATGAACGCTGGTTTTCGTCCATTCGTTTATGTGAACTAATAATTACTTAATATGAAAGTAACATGACCATAGAATTTGGTTTCGGACATCAATAAACCTATTCCTAAATCAATATAGTATGTAGTATGTATGTAACCTGCATTAATGTTTAATATTTCCCATGACAGTTTACCACGTACCAAGGCGCGTCCGACGAGGCGTCGATCCCTTCGATGCCCACAAGGCGTGGCAAGACCATCTCGACAGACTGGCAGCTATCGACAGGCTGTACCCCTCTCGCTACGGTCTCTACTTGAAGGACCGGGCATACCCCATCACCGACCTTAGCTCTCCCATTTCCACGCCCCTGGAGCCCAAGAGCCTAAAGGGAATCGAATATGAGCCCGACAGCAAGCCCCACTGGGGAACAGGTAAATTCTAACAACTCTATGCACGAACAAATTAGGATAAGCTAGAATAAGCGCCGCCGCGGTTTATCTGTACAAGTTTTACTTCTACAACTTATTTGTAGTCGTCTTTCGTGTCTGAGATAGACTGATTGTTATTGTAAATAAAGTACAGGCGAATCCCGGCTGTTCCCTGGTCCACGTCACAGGCTAAGGACGGAATACCAATTATGTTAAATGTAAATTATCTAGCAAAGGTAACCATTCTAATTGGAATATCCCGGACATAGCTCTCCACGTGGATTCAGATATTTGTAAGAACTTAGGAGGACTCCATTCACCTGTAAGATTCAATCATTGTTGAATCGTATACGTGTGATATGAAGATGTCCAGAGAGAAACAAGAAGCTACACTATAAATGAATTTAGCTTAAGTAAGTTTACTCTTATTAAGAATGGTACCAAATAAAATCTAGTGGTACCAGACCATCTTTCCTTCGTACATACATTAACTAAGGACATTGTATTAAATTAAACATCCAAAATTCAAAATTGTAAATAAATAAAGCTTCAGTAGCTTAATTTGGTGCATTACATCTTCGTTATAAATTTCTGACATCCTTTTGTAAAAATGACCTACATCAAAACGACATTTTCTTATTGAGTGAATTTTAAATTGTATTATTTTGTTACGATATGTAGAAATAATTTTATACTTCCCATAACTTGTTGAATAGTACAAAGTTTTAAGAACATTTCACTAACACAACGATATATTTTATATTAAAACATAAAAGACCAACCCGTGTTTTGATTTAGTAGTTTAGTACCTCTCCGCTGTTATTTTTAGTCTCTATTTATGACCTATAATTTGGCACTAAATTATTTTTTAATAAACCGACGTAGGTACTTGAGACTGCCACACATTCCTGCCGTCTATATCTGTAGCTACATTATGCTTCTGAGAATATGCTCCTAAAACATAGTAGTTACTTACCTATGCCACAGAAATGTGTGCCAGTCTAAAACAGAGATGAAATTTTAATGCATCGATATTTTGAAAACATGTTTGCATGAGCTGCATTGTAAATATGAGCAAAGCAATATTCGCTCCGGAATGTTACTTTTGTATTCTCGGTATTCATGCTCTGCATACAAGAACACTACACTCTACAATATACCTAATTAGGAGACATGATATTTGTGTCCGGTCTGTGTCTATATTTCAACGAGGTAAACCGAGGATTTTGTAACCAATTTTCGTCGTGTAATATTTAGAGTGGTATTGATAATGAGACTTGCCATGAAGGAGCGTGGCCGGCGAGGATATCGGACGCGTTCAAAAACGACCCATTTTTCTCTGAAGCCGAAAAATGGGCAGGTTTTGACCGCTCACTCCGAGGGAAGTCCCCGACGCCGGTGAAGCCGAGGATAAGCCCACCGCGCGACTGCGAAGTCGCATTCGATGCCGACGGTAAGGGCAACAGACCCAACCCTGTACACCCTGTATCTTCGTCATAATCCACTCTTCTATCTGGGTTATTGAATTCTTCTGTGTTCAGAAAACCAAAACTTTTTACGTCCGAAGCCCCAGTGCAGTGTAAAAGCACCTAATTTATCAGAGCTGTGTGAGACTTAGCATCTGTAGTTAATTTTATAACCTGTATTTATTTACTTTTTACCTCTAATTTTTGTCGATTTAATTTTCCTAGTGAATAATGAAACACGACATTTTTATTCACAAAATCTTTGATGCAGGTAGATAATAAAATTATGTTTAACAATGTACCAACCCTATACAGTCCGACGAGTGTATGTGTTCTTTTTCATAACATGGCACTACAGCTACAAATCGCATGGAATCCCAGAAAAAACTATCACCACATTAATTAATTATTAATATTCGTAGTTTAGTGTGATGACATTAACATTATTAATAAATTCAGTTTATTTAAGAGTCCCTAGTTTTTGTTAATGCGCTTCGAGTAAGAGTATTAACTGTTATAGATGGATAAGATAAACGACTGATGCGGCACTGGTTTTTATAGTTACAACCTTTGAAGTCAAATTTTTGGGAACTACTGAACCTATTGTAATGAAACTTGAATTCATGTGCAATATCAAGGTCTAAAAAAATTTAATGCGAATGTTTTCGCAAAGGCTTTAGAGACACAGAGCGAGAAAATCTTTTGTCTCATTTTTTTTTTGGAAATTTTTAATTCATGTTTTACCTACTCTTTTATATTTTACCTATGAATGAGTTAATTAAAGTCGCTTCAGCAGATGCCTACGATTTCTGCGTTGAAAGTTTGTATGAAAACCGTAAAGGTCTATTTTTAACCTAAAATTGCTGTATTAAAAACAGTGTTTAGTAGGAACTCCAAAAATAGTATTGTGGTGTAATGCAATGAATCTTAAATTAAAAACATTTGATCAAAATTCGTGGGACTCGTAAATAACTAAGGCATTAGTAGTGACGGAGTGTCACGCAGCTGTGTTGATCGCTTGCTTGCTAACACTGTTTGGGCGGGCGATGACGAAGTGCAGCTGTTGTATGTCTGTTGTCCCGGCATTAAACGTTATAGTTGTGGCGTCTAGGTGCACCGCTGTACAACGCTGGTGGACTCCGAAGAAGGCCTTGGGCTGACATTTTCAACCCGAGCCCCTCTCTACCAATCTCGGCCATCACTCGGGACCCCTTCTGGTACGACTGGCCGGAGCTGAAGCCCCTGGCTAGATGGGACCGCAGCCCCTCCTACATCCGTGACTCGTACCTGTCGCCAGTCAAACGCACCTTCCTTTGGGACAAACACCCGATCAGGCCGTTAGGTTAGTGGGTTGCTGTAAATACGCAATACGTCATTCTGAAGCTTTATTGATGTCTTCAATCTGAGCTGTACAAACTGGCCTTGAAATATATAATCATCGACATGGATTACCACCGCCATTTATTAACTACGATATGCCAATATTATAACTGTGTAACTAGGTGTGAGAACGAGATACTGCGGTTGGTTTTTATTTATTTTGGATAGTATTATTTAGGACTTTTAGGACGCGCTACGTTTGTTGTAGACTGCGTGTGTTTCATTGGAATAAATGTCTGAGTAGCTAGGTAATGTCTCATATGATTACAAATGTTCTAACTTTTATCTCTAATCACGGCAGATTTAATGGTGGCAGACCAGTTCACCGTGGATGATCTAAGCAAGACTTTACCGTTCATGCGTAGTCTATAAAACATGCAAACTTAATCAGGTATCTGTCTGTGCGTCGTGCTAGTGAATGTAGTTTGAATCCTATTGTCTTGTTCACGTGTTGTTCCTATTCACTCGTGGTAGTCACACGGTTGATGGAAGTAGACCACCGACATTATTATTTATCACATTGCAAGTTGAACTTCACCAGAATTTCATGTATAATTTTAGCAACACATATTTTTAAGCACCATTAGTACTTAGTTATTAAAAGTACGTTTATTTTTCCTGTTCACAACGTTTGTTCATATTTTTAGGTAACGGATCATTGTTGGAGTCATTCATCAAATCATCAAATTAAATAGCATTTGCATAAGACCGAATAACATCATCACAAAAGGATGCGAAGATGCACAAAATATCATCTCTTATTAATACTTACTGCACACATAAATCCTAATCAAACTGTACATAAAACCATTAATTAAGTACCCACCTATTAATATAAGTTAATTTAAGAATTATATGGACCACTGAAATGTTTTATTTATGAAATGGATTCGAATTAAATTATCAAAGTAAGGTAAAAGGGAGAATGTGGTGGATAGCGTTTTTTATTTGGATTTGTGAAAATATATTCCTATATGAACGGCGAATTACTAATTTAAAAAAAAGTTTAGTTGCTTGTAAACCTTTTTTTTAATCTCTATCAAGAGAAGCGCTTACTGAAATAAATAAATAGTATATACATGTAGGCTAGACTCTAGAAATCTCTTACTTGTCCTATCCCTCTTTTTTAATTCTGCTTAATAGTCTCTGAAGGTAGAGAGTCTCAGTCTCAGACAAATATCATGATAAAACGAATACAAGGTTTTTACTATGTATTGTGTACCAATAAAAAATAATGTGAACTAAATAAGTAGGCTTTAACAAGGGTTCAAGCAATTTCCTTATTTATATTTTCTTTTTCAGCTGCTGCTTTCTAAGGGGCCTGACATCGAACCCACATATTATAAGAACTTAATTTATATTTTATAAACTTTTTCTGTTATACATTGACTATGTTAAAACGATTATTTAACAATAAATTTTAAAATGTAAGCTACAAAATAAATTACAAAATAATTAAAGTTTGATCAGTGATCACGCAAGATCTCAAAGACTGCAATAACATAGTCACTGCCACGAATATGAACTTGTTACAAAAGTTTTGTTTTTATTACCTAAATATTTTTATTTATTCCATAAATTAAAAAAATCAATAAAATCTACAAAACGGATGATGTTTTTATTGCACCTCTTAACGTATCCTATAGCTATCACATTATTTCTTTCTTTCAATGAAACAATTGAAAAATGCTTCGAAAGGTGAGATAATAAAGCATAATTAACACTTAGAACGCCATGTCGGACAATGGTGTCCGACGCTAGCGGAGGGTTAGCCTTCTAGTTTTAGTCGGCAGTCAAATGCTTAAAGTACAAATCTAGATATCTAAATATTGTGGAGATATGTAAATGTTGAATCGAATTCAGTGGAGCGATATTAGAGAAACCTATGTCCATGGCTTTAATGGCTGATAATGTTGATGACTAGTTAGGATAATATAACAAAAAAGAAGTTTAAAAAGAGGATAAAAGTAGGTATACCTAATTAACACCATAATAGCAGGCAAGTAAATGCTGATACCTATTATAATGGTGACTTGTACTGCAACTTTTATATCAAAATACAGGTGTACAACAAGAACCTCTTAAAGATAGATGAAAAAAAGAGATCTTACGTTCAACTTTTAACTTCCTAAGTCAAGCAGAGGATTAATTTTAAGTATTTTTAGCTGAATCATAGCTATTATAATAACACAGAGAGTTTGAAATTTTACTTGGACTATGATTAAGTTTTACCCCTAGGTATTAAGGTCATTAACAAAGGATAGGTATATAAATATTGTATACCTATACTATAGGTATACCTATAGGTCCTATAGGTACATTACATTGCATGCATATTTATATGATCCTCTGTCTACGCCTTGGGTGCTATAAGACGTGATTTTATATTATCCAGATATGGTATCATGGCAGTCATCTATAATTAGGTAGGTATGTTTTTTTTCTTGGTGGCTCGGAGGCCAATACGGGATTATGGACGTTAACTTTTTTCAAGTTAAGTAGAGCACTTTCTTAGTTCCATCAGACACAATAGAAATACGTGAAAACCCATTTTTTTTAATTGTATAATATAGTCATCAAATGACGTCTCCCGCCCTGGGCAAACCCGTGGGGCAAGACGAAGTGTCTCATCATTAGCTCATCATAAATTAAGAGACTTACTGGCTAAAAAATTGTCCCATTCCTTCTCCTGTCCCGGGGTCGAGGCTACAGTACATCATTTCGCTTGCACTTGCAACTCTGACTGACACGAGGGCACCTAGATAGACTAGCAATAGATATTAAATAAATTGCTAATTATAATTTGATATCGCCAATCCGCTTTCATCTAGAGCTATGCTAAGCCTTAATGACTTATTACTTCGCCATAACAGAAGAAGCCTTTGCTCAACAGTATATACCTACTTATAGGATGATGATGTGATGTGTGATTGAAGCTATATTTATTATTGACACAAACAAACTCGATGACAGGCGTTAAGGTTAGGTTTAGGCGTTAAAGTTTAGGCTTCTCTATAAAAATATTCAATAGGTACTAGGTAACTAGGTCCTTTTTCCTTAACAAACCAAACAGAATAAAAAAAATATTATTAAAAAAACAAAATACCCGACTGCACACTAAAAAAAGAGTAAAACAAGCCCAACAATACAAATTTACTGAATATAATTTATAAATGTTGATGGAAAGCATCGCAGGCGGGGACCAACAGAGGCTTATTTATAGTCATTTCTGTTGTGCACCATTTAGCAGAATTTTCGTTGGTGGCGGTCAAGGTGGTCCCCGCCTGCGATGCTTTCCATCAACATTTATAAATTATATTCAGTAAATTTGTATTGTTGGGCTTGTTTTACTCTTTTTTTAGTGTGCAGTCGGGTATTTTGTTTTTTTAATAATATTTTTTTTATTTATAACTTTTTAGCTGTTTTTATTTAACGAAAATGTTGTAGATGAAGTATCGAAAAAATCGCTATTTAGAGACGACCGTCAACGACGTGTGCCCTTATGCGTGTGCCCGCATTCGGGCTGTATACTCGAGCATATCCCCCTCCGCACCGCGCCGCGCGCCGCAAGCCAGGCCACGCCCTATCTTTTTGCTTGCTAACGCATGAGTTGCTTTGCGTTGACGCAGAATTAACATGTTCCCGTGGGAATTTTGAGAAAAAACGTATCCTATATTAATTACTCCCGTGATTGAAATGAATCTAATGATACCGCATACATATTTTTTTAAAGGGAAATTTAGAAAAAATATTATTATGTCTTTATGCCGTGGGACTTTTAGGATAAAATGTATCCTATGACACTCCCGTAATCAAGACAAATCTAACGATACCTCATACATCAAAATCCATCAAGCCGTTTAGGCTACAGGAGGTCACAAAGGAACAGACATACATACATACTTACATACACTCGAAAAACATTACCCTCCTTCTTTGGCAGTCGGGTAAAAACAAATGTTACAATAACAAGAAGCCTTAAACACCCCATTTTTTTCAGTACCGAGAGTTTTAGAACATCGAAATTCCAATGGGACATCAAAAGATACTTTGCCGCACTAAGAAACTCGAATCCCCGGATTTAAACAACCAATTTATTACTATTCTATTGTAATCAAAAACATTAATTCTTACTTTGCAAATAATGTTATCTGTTAATAGCCCTGACGAAACTGTCCTTAAAATTAGATATCATACTAAAGGAATAACTTACTTTATTTAATAGAGTTCGGGTAGTTGTAATAAAATAATTAAATAAATGAAATACTGTACAGTCAGTGCTACTAATTCAAATGCAAAACATTGCCCTTTCGCAATATGTGGTGTCTAAATTGATTTTTAAAATTGTTAATAACATCAATTATTTTGTTAACAAAACATCTAAATACGTTTTTTAATTCAAATCATACAGCGATTGAATTTTTATTTATGGCACTTGACTACCATAAACAAAGAATACAATCTCATACGCAATGTTTGTATAGATCGTAATGAGTTGATAAAAACAACTTTCACGTTGAAAACAGATGATACCACCTAAAACTAAACATTTAAAAGTGCAAGCAATAAATAATTATTCCAATACTATAAAATCGGATGGTGTATAGAAATCCTTACTTTTGCATTTGACAGTTACTAAATCAAATTGACGTCTGAGAGCAAACAAAAATATTCGTTGAGGTTTAAAATTTCAGACATTCGTATAATTGTTGTCGGTTTAAACTGTTGAAAATAAACTATTTATAATGGGTGAAAATGTTGAAGCCCATGCAAGTGATATGGAAATTAATAATTCTGAAATAACATTTGACAATCTAACTATACTGAAAGAGTTTGGTAACATTGTGAATCTTGTAAGGTGAGTAACGCAATCTTCTTCAGGCCTAATTGTCTCTTTATGTTTAATCACAACAAACAAACTCGATGCAACAAAATATGACTAACTTTGGTGATCTACAGGCTAACAATTGTCCTGTAATACCATTGACTTTAAATGAAACTGCTGTCTTCTGAGCTTGTTTCGGTATATCTTCCTATACAGAGAAGTCGGATAGGAAATGCCAGATTCATCTAGATTTTTATATATAATGTTGACGTGTAATTGTTTTATGGCCTATTTACAAGAATAAATACATTATTTCATTGATTTAATTTAATTTTAAACAACCTCAACAAACTGTCGGTTGCTTATTTTAGAAACGAAGACTTCCTAGAGACTGTGCCTAAAGCAAAACTAAAGCGTGTGAAATGGATACCCATGTTTAATTGTTTGAAACAAGGCATTCTTGACGAAATGATTCAGGAACTGAGTTCTATGTGGGAGTATGAAAATATGCCGCAGAAACTTGACATACTTGAAAAACAAAAAGAAAAGTTCATGGATATGGACACGGACAAGGTTTTATGGTAAGTTTTTATTACCTTATTAAAATTTCATTAATTGTGATAAGCTTGTATATGACTGCTGACATATATTTTGTAAGAAAATCATTTGTACGTTGCACAAAACAGAAACTTTAACAAGAGATTGCCTTATGCTTGTTGATGATCAAGGGAACTGGCAAATTACAGTTACTGCAATAAATAGAATGACTAATGTCAGTTGGCCTTTGTTTGTTATAATTTAATCCATATATGTATATTATACAAAAAACATACTATTCTCATAATGTTTAAAACAATTCTCCTAACGTACTTCAAACTTCAACTAATTTAATATACTAAAATTTTATTTATATTTTTTATCTTTTTTTTTAATAGGAGACCACAACTGGGAGATGTAAAAGCTCAATTAAGAGCTAATGATGTTGCTTGTTTGAAAAAGCAAAAAGTCCTATTAGAATCGCTAGCCAAGGAATATGAAGCTAGAGTTAACAGGATTAAGAAAATTTTGACAGCCAAGCGAGGATACTTAAAAGCCTTACAGTTGGATATACAAAAGTACCAGAGAAGAAATGAGGACCTTGTCATAAAACTCAATGATAAATTAGACAATCACCACAATTTAATAAAAACAAATCTTGCAGATAAAATAGACATTGAGGACATAAACTGGAAAGAAAAAGACATGGATTTTAATGAAATAAATTCATCTTGATATTATTTGAATAAAATTTATATTTCAGAAAATTGTACACACCTGAGAAAAAGTACAACAAAATTTATAATAAGTTATATAATTTGAAACTCAATTGCTCTCGAAACTTATCTTTCTCTAAGTGTAGATGAAAATAGAGTAAAATTTTAAATATTAAGTGACACTGAGAGTAAATTACATAAGTCCTAATTTTGCTGCTATCTGTACCAGCTAATAATTATTTTACAGTATAGAGTTAAAATAAGAACAGAAATACACTTTATAGCAATCTATGAACAACAAATTTAAAAAGCATCAAGTAATGTAAAAGTATGATATAGATTAAGTCACATTTACTCTCTTAGTAAATACATAAAATGTTAGTTTTAAACAAAAATACATTTGTAAATGCAAACCAAACTGAAAATAAAATAAAAATAAACCTCTTAGTTTAAATAGTGATATTTATTAATGAAAAATCATACATAGCTAAAAAATAAAATTGTACAATGCAAAACCTGCATATAATTTTTATAATATAACAGTAATAATACAGCAATTGCACTATTGTTGCGAGGACTACACTGCTTCTACCACATTTTATAAATTATATCAATTCATTTTGAGACTTAACCGTAAAGTTTGAAGTGAAAGCCTCAGATAAGGGAGATCATGTTGAACATCATCGAATTTTGAAACATCTACTTAATCGGTAAGAATAATACTGAGTGCAAAATAAAGATAATTTCACTGGGTACTTCACTCCCTCTTAACACATAAGTGATTGCAATGGAGTCCTAGAACAGAAAAACACTTATTGCTATGACGAGGTGAAGGTTAATATCATGTCTTAGGCCAGCTCCACAATAGGATTATAGAGAAAACAAAATATCATTCACTAAAATAATAATCAGAGGACAGTTCCATGGACGATCATTCATATTAATTTATTTTTGCCTAATCCGATAAAACTAGAAATTTCAAATTAACCAATTATCGTCACTTACTCAAGACCTATATATAATTTACATTTATAGGCACATTAGTTACAGAATTAACCAAGCGAATGTGCTTTCGATCCACTACAACTTAATAAATAGTTAATATGAAATGTAACGACGCTTTCGTCTCCAATGCCCGCATCTTTAAGATCGCTTGCCACCTCAAACATTTTAAAATTAACGAAACAATTTACTACAACATCAACATGTTACAATAACACAACAGGATACAATACCACTTCAAAGGCTGCCTTATAATCAGGGATCGAAAAAGCAATAGTCACCGAGGCATCGCCGAATATATAATGTCAGCTCAATACAATCTGTAGAACTAAACTCATAAATTAATATCACTCACATTAATAATATAAATTAAAAATAAGAAGGCACAAGCAAATCGATAAATAAATTTTAACAATACGCGACATATTATTATTCGGCTATGTCTAATGACCATACTAAACATAATAATTATAATACATGATATAATTAATTATTTGTAGCATTCCTCTCACTGTGCAGCACACTGGATCCCAAACGTCAGTTATTTCTTCTTAGGTGGTGATCGTTGAGGTGTGGCCGGCCTCCCACTGTTTATGCCATTGTACTGGTATTTTGCTTTCTTCTCAGATGGTTTCAGTATCTGTGGGAAGAATTATTATTATGATGAAAACATATACATAAATGTTTTTGTGAAGAAGTAAATCATGGTTAATATAAATACATTCAAACTACATCTGCCGACATATTTGTTGATATTTGATCCCACAGATTACAATTTTACGAAAGAGAGTTAGGCCTGGTTGTTCGGAAAGTTACCGTTCGTTACGTTTAACTTGCGTGCGTTCGTGCAGCGGAATGTTGTTGAATTTAAAGATTTTAATTATGCAGATATTTAGTGTATGACGTCGTATAATTGTGTATGGTAAAAAAAAATTTGTGCACGCAACCATTGTGGAGAAATTCACCAAAAACTGATTCCGCTGGGCGAACGTTGTCCTGGCGGAACTTTTTTTAATCCATAGACTTTAGAAGAAAAGAGATGTATCCAAAAATTAGTGTGTATTTGTGTGTAATTGTGTATGTATGAATAAAACTAGTGCATGCATAAACTTCGGAGAAATTCAAGTTTCCGCTACGCGAACGTTTGGCCATTACCTAGTTTTCATATAAAGCGCTTACATAGAGAGCTGTAGATTTTTACATACGTTGTTTTGAATTTGTGTATATTTGTTTAAAAAACAGATTTAGAAAAAATCGTAGGGTTTAAAAGATAAAAATATAAACGTAAAATACGCTTATTAGGTCTTAGTTCTTAAAGTATGCACTTTGGGGTCTAGATTTTCACGTTTATACAAACCTTGTAAGTGTCTGCAACATGTTGCCAAGTATCAAGGATGTTCCGTTAGTAATTAAATAGTTATAGGACAAATTTACCATGAATAGATCACTGTTTACAAAGCAGTCAAATATCACGACTTCCTAAATGAATTGCATGGTAAAATGTATGCCAATAATTAGTGTATTCATTCAACTATTCACATGCAAAATTTCATGTCATTAAATTCAGTAATTAAAGAAAAACAATTATAATACTGACGAAGCACCGAAAACCTACATAACCCGACCAAGTTCGGATGGCTACAAAAAAGCGGCTTTGCAATATATCTAAGAAACGTTTTTAACTTTCCAATATAGCATTTATTAATATGGTACAGTATCGTACACAAGCGTTAGGAAAAAATAAAACACAGTATCGTACACACGCTCGTGCATGCCTAGTCTATTGGTCAAATAGTGTAATAAAAAATATTGGTTAAATAGTGTAATAAGCTACAATATGATAAATATTTACCTAAACAGTAGTACATACTTACATGTGGTAAATATTTAATTTCCCTAAGGGGTAGGGAAATTATATATAAATTTATTACACTATTTGACCAATAGACTAGGCATGCACGAGCGTGTGTACGATACTGTGTTTTATTTTTTCCTAACGCTTGTGTACGATACTGTACCATATTAATAAATGCTATATTGGAAAGTTAAGAACGTTTCTTAGATATATTGCAAAGCCGCTTTTTTGTAGCCATCCGAACTTGGTCGGGTTATGTAGGTTTTCGATGCTTCGTCAGTATTATAATTGTTTTTCTTTAATTACTGAATTTAATGACATGAAATTTTGCATGTGAATAGTTGAATGAATACACTAATTATTGGCATACATTTTACCATGCAATTCATTTAGAAAGTCGTGATATTTGACTGCTTCGTAAACAGTGATCTATTATTCATGGTAAATTTGTCCTATAACTATTTAATTACTAACGGAACATCCTTGATACTTGGCAACATGTTGCAGACACTTACAAGGTTTGTATAAACGTGAAAATCTAGACCCCAAAGTGCATACTTTAAGAACTAAGACCTAATAAGCGTATTTTACGTTTATATTTTTATCTTTTAAACCCTACGATTTTTTCTAAATCTGTTTTTTAAACAAATATACACAAATTCAAAACAACGTATGTAAAAATCTACAGCTCTCTATGTAAGCGCTTTATATGAAAACTAGGTAATGGCCAAACGTTCGCGTAGCGGAAACTTGAATTTCTCCGAAGTTTATGCATGCACTAGTTTTATTCATACATACACAATTACACACAAATACACACTAATTTTTGGATACATCTCTTTTCTTCTAAAGTCTATGGATTAAAAAAAGTTCCGCCAGGACAACGTTCGCCCAGCGGAATCAGTTTTCGGTGAATTTCTCCACAATGGTTGCGTGCACAATTTTTTTTTTACCATACACAATTATACGACGTCATACACTAAATATCTGCATAATTAAAATCTTTAAATTCAACAACATTCCGCTGCACGAACGCACGCGTTTAACTTTAACCATTTTTAAAGTAAAATTAGGTGTTAGTAGAGATATCTACAACCAGTAAGACGTGATAAACCTCAAATTTTGTTAGATACAATAGGTATGTAGCTGCTACTTATACAACCGCACATGCAGTGAGTACTCAAGTACTTACTTATTCATATAATCAAATTTTTCTAATACATTTTAGTCAATCTTATGGATCTATACCCGGGAATCGAACCCGATACTTCGGTAGCTTCTTTATCGAAATAGAATCGTATCGAAAAGTTAAAAAAAGGTCGCATTACTTTGTCTTTGATACCTCTAACAATGAACAAATGAATAGGTACAAAGGAGGTCATAGCACTGAAGAGAATCTCTATACATAACACACTATGCGTTAGAGGATATAGTAGAATTTATGGTGCAATGTGTAACGTAACAAGCCTTTTTTGAGGGGGAATGATCAAATGACTTCTCTCCTCAGGATGAGGCGAGAGAAAGAATCAACAATCCTTTTTGTTAACCAAACTATGTTTAACCAGTGATGTTTAATTAAGCTAAAACCAACAAATCGCAGAAAGTATTTCTATCAGAGCTAAGCTATTCAGGTGGCATCATCTTTAGGGCTACCCTCATATAAGAATTTTGTCTAGAAAACTAAAGCTCACTGTACTATGGCTTAAGAAGTCTGCATAGAGTCCAGATTACCTAATGGACTGTCTATGATTGGTTCATTAGATGCTGTTGCACGTAACTACACTAACTCAAACCATTTCCGTAAAGCTATCCATCTTCTCTTCGACTCACGAGGGTCCTCTCAATATAATATTTCCAAGCCTCTGTCTACATTTTTCTTCATAAAGTTCATATAACTAGCTATCGATCATGTGAGGTAGCATAGCATGTGTATTCAATTTCATCTATCTATAATCGAAGTAAACAACGACTATCTTATCTTCTGTAGAGCTGACTGATCTCCAACACATGCGCCGAACAATATACAAGCTCAATCAAGCTACCTATATAATAATATTTAGATACTTATTGACAAAACCTATTAGCCTAAATCATTAAAAATGTTTGAAGCTTGATCGAGCAAATGTTTATTTAACCCCAACCACCCATGTTGAGACTTAAGTCGACGCTAGCGCCATTCTAATGGCTAGTGTAAAGTCGAAAACTGGCCATCCATGCAAAAATTATTGTTATTTCAATTTGCAACAGCTTAGAAAAATATTTTACTGAATGATGTATTGAATTTATGTGAATATATTTCAAACAAAAACAAGGTGAAGCTATTAGAAAACCGGATTGCATGCAGAGGAGCTAATGTGAGTGTTAGTGCTACGTTACTGATATGAAAAATAAAAATAGCAAATCACGTCAATTTTATTAGCCATTTATCGAACTGGGTTCATTTTGTGACACATAAGATACAGTTAAGGGACATAATAAATGTTATAAAATATACTTATGTCTTAAGGATGCATCCGCCATCCTACGTCAGGATGGCGACTAACTTAGATTCGTCATCTCTCGTTTCCTAACTAAATACGTATTATAAGAGATATTGAAAAATATGTTGAAACAGTGTATTCAAACATAATTATAATCTCCATCGATAAAATGCAGTCGACATCCTGACGCTCACGGTCTACGAAGTCATTTTACTAAAATTCGAAAGAATAAAAATAAAGTTGTGTTTCTTTTATACTATTTAAACATGTGATTAGTTATAACAAATCACATAAATTATAACAGTATTAATTAAGTAAAACATTCTAGTACTAATTCATTACTTTGTACTCAGTCACAAAATATAGCATACCCACTTAAAAACCATTTTTACAAAGTAAGGTAAAAAAATATAAAACGGTCATTTTGAATATGTAATTACCGATATTCCTACAAAATTAGTTAATACATAAAGTTCAAAATAATGGAGATACTGACGAAAAACCTCAAAAAGTTATATTTGCGTTTTCCCAAAAAAACTGTGTATCCGACATACATTGTATTGTCATGACAGGGCAGCATTGTACTGGTATTTTGCCTTCTTCTCAGATGGCTTTAGTATCTGAAGGAATAAATGGTGTATTAGTCTATGGAACCCTTTGTTTGTGCTTTGTTACTCAAGATTTGGCTGTTATGCTGTTGTAAGTACTATGGAAATGATAGTACTTACAACAGCATAAATGAGCAGAAATGAGCATGGAAAACTAACTGTTTACAAACGACAGTAAGAACGTACAGATTGTTTAGAAGCTTGTGTTGTTGGTTGCAAGCTTCATAGCTTGGGAACAAATATTTTGGCAACGTAATAAAATGACTAAAATGCCGATGATTTTATTGTAACCCATTTATAAACGACGCTTTTGGCCTTGTGCCGTCTCGTGTAATACCGAGCTTGCTCATAAATCTCCCTGTTAGTTCTTACGTCATACATTACCGATACTTTACTGCACGAGCGCGCTGTGACGTTGGTTTATTAAAAGCTCGATATATTTCCATAACTATACGTATTATTAAACATACATTGTTAACCACTCTTTACAATATGATGGAAAATATACACAGACTTTTGGAATAAACCTTTTTTTCTAGGACCTATCATAGTTCGCTAGTTTACTAGAGTAATGGACTGAACAATCATAAATGGATGCTGATATACAAGCATACTGTAAAGGGCGTTAAGACCGACTGAGGTAATCTAACTGGTAGCTATTTGCTATCAAAATCAAATAAGTTTGATGACTGAACTAATCCAATCAACGAAATAACAATACCATTTGAGAACAAATATCTAGGATTGGGGGTGTGAAATTAAAGAATTAAAATAATAAATACCTGGAAAGAACACATGAGTGTTTCATCAACAGACATCATGCCACCCGCATTGTCAAACTCTCCACAGTAGTTGGGCGCAGAAAAGAGTGTCACCAGTTGTCGCTTTGCAAAGAATTCGTATCCATCTTCCACTACCTAGAAGTTACGAACGAGAACAATTACTAATAATGTTTATTCTATCTTGTTTTTGGAAACCTACATGGTTAAAATGCAAGTGAAATTGGACTTGTATAGTGTGTATTATGTTTTTTTTAATAAGAATTTCAAAATAATTAAGGTCAAACGTTAAAAAATTTCTCTTGGATTCCATCTCATTCTTGAATAGATTTTTTCGAAGAAAACACAGCACTAGCATCAGGATCCTTGAGAGATTACGGTTCACATACTAATATCTCTAATTACTATATGTAACTATTACATGTAGCAAGAATATTTAAAATATATATCTAATAAATAAATAGAGTATGAGAAATTATCACACCTGGTGAGCCCGACAAATCAGATCCAGATCATGTCTGTTGAGGAATTTACTGACGACATCGGGACCGAACGTGAAGGACACGCCGCGGTCATTCTCACCCCAACCCTGTACGTCTTTGTCTGGATCTGACCATAATAGGTCGCAGAGCAGCCCTGGAATAATTGAAACATTGATATAAATATAATATAGTAAAATTATATTAACGGTACCCTTATTCATTCTGTTTCTACCTAACCTCATGGGACGGCGAACATAGTAATGTATTGTAAAATACAACATCGTGTCGTGAATATGTTATTAGACAGAAAACTTCAGCCCAGTCGGCCTAGTTGGCCCATTATATTAAGAACTAGATCAATGTAGGTTAGGTCATAATAACAGTTTTGTGATGGGATATACATGAATTTATGTATCACTAGCTACTCTCGCGCGGTTTCACCCGCTGCTCGGCTCCATTTGATCGTAGCGCAATGTTTTGAAGATTAAAGCACTTAGTAACATTGTAGCCATCTATCAGTAAAAGAATTTTAGCAATCCGACCAGCTGTTCCAAAGGTTGGCCCCTACATACAAACTTACAAATTTAACCTTTTCATAATATTTGTATAGAACGGGTATATGGATTTTCTTTATACTACAAATTTTGAAAAACCTTTGTGTTCTAGTTAGAAACTGCTACAGTAGTATTTTCCGTCAAAAGATTTACGATTATAATTGAATTATGTCCATACAAGTCTTTTAGTACAGAAATGAGTGTAATTAAAACAACTGTCAATATATGGCTTCAAAGATCTGTAGATATGTCCTTCACACATTCAGTAACTGATCCTGTTGGTCACAATGATATGGAACATGTCAATGACGGAAGCATTGTCAGCTTAGTCACAATTGAACGAATATGATTCATCAAATTACTCATGTCTTATATATCCATTTTATTATATTCGTTGAAATGATTTAGATCTGACTATCTCGTGCATCTATCTGGTCGACGCGACGTCAGAATGTTTGGGCAGTCAGTTCAGGCGCGTAAATTTGTTTATGTAATTGAATGATTAATTTGAAATTTGAATTATGAAATGAAGTAAGAATGCAAATCGTGTTTTTGGCACACTTCATGTTTTGTACCATTTTCATCAAAAACAGGTGTTTACGATAGTCAATATGTCTCATACATATTCATGATACTTACCTGTGTCGGGAACATCAGTGGGTCTCATTATTCGCCTGATTTGCTCCATGCCTTGTAGATCCGGAGAGAGGCCACCATGGCAGCAGAAAATCTTTTCATCAATGATAGCTGCTATTGGCAAGCAATTGAAGCAATCTGTGAATGTCTTCCACAGCTTGATATTGTATCGGCGTTTGCATTCGTCGTAGAAACCTGGACATGGACAAACATCGCGTGTCAAATACTCATATTAAACATCTAGGAAGATTTTAATCTTTGTAAACTAGCCTTGACGAGAGACGCCGAACATGCGTTGAATTAAACTTAAATTAATATCACTAAGAAAATATTTACCAAGAATCGTCATAAATCACAAAAAACTACATCATCAACGGGCATTAAATAACATGTTCACACTCAAATAATTGTGTACACAAATTATATATTTTGTACTTATGATACAGATGCTAATTTGTTAGACTCACCATAAATGCGATTTATGCTAGCACACTCATGATTGCCTCTGAGAAGGAAGAAGTTCTCAGGATACTTGATTTTGTAAGCGAGCAGAAGGCAAATCGTCTCCAGGGATTGCTTGCCGCGATCCACGTAGTCACCCAGGAATAGATAGTTAGCTTCGGGAGGGAAGCCGCCATATTCGAACAGACGTAGTAAATCCGTGTACTGACCATGTATATCACCTGCAAATAGTTTCTATATTGTAGATATCAGGAAATCAGTTTGATTTAATTTTTTTTTTTTAAATAAATCCAGCTTCTCTCAGCCAAGTTGAAGTGTAAAGAGTATTTTTTAAAAGAACCATTTAATAATAAAGCTTTTAAATAGAATCATTGTATCTAAAAAAAATTTGTTTGTCTTTTGTTTATGCAATTGCCTTTGGCTCAATGACTGATATGTTTTATCTTATTAAGATTTAAATTGACACTTTATTTATAAAACGTAGGCACTGTCCAACATTTACTGGTGACAAGAAGTTATCTATCTGATAGCATAGCAAAATATAAATATTTTTGCCATATCCAAACAATGAATTATATAAACATAAATCTTAATATTATTTGCACAGTGAGTGATCACAATACATGAAATATTATGAGACTAGCTACTCCTGCGCGGTTTCACTCGCTGTTGGGCTCCATTTGATTGTAGTGTGATGTTTATAGCCTATAGCACTCGGGAATATTGTAGCTATCAATAAGTAAAAGAATTTTGGGAATCCGACTAGTGGTTCCAAAGATTATCCCCTACATAAAAACTTACAAACATACAAATTTTACCTCTTTATAATTTTACTATAGATGTATACAAAAGTACATAAATATAAACTTAATTTGTTAAATAGTATCAATCCATAGATTTTTTTTTATAAATTTGTCACTCGGTTCCATGTCCCATAGTATTATACATATTATACTTGCCACAAATTTTGAGTGGTGCTTCCAATTCCAGTAGTATAGGCTGTTGCAGGAATATCTCTCTGGACTTGGTGCATAGGCCTCGTACCTCTGACTCCGACATCTGCACAGTCTTGCCAGGCCTGCATCCTCGAACTGAGACAACATGCAATTACTTTAATTTGTCAATTTCAACATTTCATGAAAATTAATATTAGTATATTGGTGACACAAACAATATGAAGCTTGAGCATGACAGTACATGAGGAGGCTACCATCTGTGAAACAATTTATGTTATTTTGGTATATCAGACCTAAACACCTGGTGAATGTTGCCAAAAACTTATTTTACTTTTGACGTCCAGTAACAAAAATAAATATCAATACTAATAACTTGGAACAGATGGCAACCCTACAATTATGAAACTAATAAAATTGCATGATGATAAATATAGACATTACAAATCACAATTACATCTTCAAGCACTCACAAATGCACGGATGGTGTAATGTTAAGTTCAATCAATTCTCTGAACATTGCTGCTATGAACACTGTACAATACACAGACTATATTTACATTTATTATAAAAAAGTAAACTCAAATGAAGTCTAAAACATGCAGTATGACATAAACCGAATAGCTGCAAAAATAACACTTGGACAACACTTTTGGGGATTGGAATAGCTAATAAATTAATAGAAATAAATTTACATAGAAGTAAAATTTTAAATGAAATACAATAAATATTATCATAAAACTTACATCATGCCTGTTTCTTTCATTAGCTTATTATAAATCATTAGAAAAAAAATATAGAAAATTAATTCATAAAACTTAACATCTATACATAATAGACAAAATCATCAAAGATGTTACAAATTATCAAAATATTGTGTCATGTATACAGTAAAGTTTATGTGGTTTTGTAGGTGGTCAAATTACTGTGTAACTTTTGGGCAAAGTATGTAGTAGGCCTTACAATATAAATAGCTTCCCTTTGTTAAAAGTGGGCTATTTTTAGGACTTATGAGGAGTATTAAAATAAGAAAAAGAGAAAACATATAAAAATAAATTTGAATGGGAAATTCTGACATGGGATTGGTCACTAAAGGAATAAAATAAAGAATCTAGCTTAATACTTTGGCAAGAATTCTGGATATAACCATACATTCTCCTGAAAAGATGTCTTTCAATTTCCCTTTTCGTCTTGCTGTTTCCTGCTGCAGTCTGTACACTGCGGTAACCCACCAAAAAGCAGCATAATAAAGTGAAATAAACATGTTTAAATCATATAAAGTAATACAGAAAGCGAATAAAGCTCAACAATAGGCCCATGGAAGTGTTCCATGCTATGAATCTGACATCATTGTTAGTAGTGTGATTAACTATAACTTAGCTCTATAATTTAACTATTTACAGTGTCTGCTCTATTTCTAAGACGGAAATAGTCGTCTGCGAGTTATCTAAAGATCTAACATCAAATGCAGAATCAGATAAGAATTAGGGATAATCGATTTATTTATGAGTTTGACGTTTCTATACCTACATACTCGATGATAATTACGCAACAAGAGCACACTGAGCGAGGATCCTTTATGTTAGAACATAAGTCTTAGAGTCAGAGAATCGAAGAACATAAAAGAAAATGAAATAAAAGTATCTTTACCTTCTAAAAGTCTGTGAATTAGACTGTCAACATTGAGTTCGTCAGCCATATTTACTACACGAATAATTTACGTCAAAAAGTCAAATCTTTCGACACCACCACCGCCAACTGCTTGTTTTTGGTTTTTAAGCGCTGCGTTTCGATTCACGCAATTGATGGTGAAATTATTTTTGTACACTATTTGTGACAACTTACGAGCAAAAATTAGACGTTTGAATATTTTTACCGGACAGACTTTACCATTGATATTAATAACATTCTTTGGCCACCTTGTTGTGAGAATTATATTTAAAAGATTGACTGTTACCCTGTCTGCTATCATAAAATTATCTCTCCCTTTTCCTGAAAACTAAACTATTTATTTTATACTAGATTCACAATCCTTAAAAACTGCTAAGGGGGTTTTTTATTTTCCTTGATAATTTTATTGCGCCAAACGAGCAGCCCGATTACTCTAAGGAATGGTCGTCCATAAACACCCGTAACACCAAAGGAGTTACGAATGTGTTGCCGGCCTTTTGGAGATTGGTAAGGGATGGGTGAAGTGGCAGGAGAAGGAGAGGGCCCCTGGTAACCTCACTGACACGGCGAAACATAATGCTGTGCTGGATTCACGCCGGTTTACTGTAAAGCCTTGGTATCAAGGTGCCCATTCGTACCGAAGCATAATTCTCGTACACATTATAATGCAAATAAAAATAATCTTATTTTCTAAACCAATGTGCTTTTAAAAAACGTTGTTTTGTTATTCTAATATTCTAATAAAAATTAGTAAAAAATAACTTTACCACAACATTATTATTGTTAGATTCTTTTGATTTTTTACAAAAATACTAATCTATGGACGTAGGTACTCTTTCCCACAAAAGTCGTCCTGCATGCATAGACAATATCAACGGACAATCATAGACAATACATTTTTATTTTTAAATTCTATTTTGCGGGCAAAATGTCGCTGTTCTTGATTGTCAAGCTATTTTCTCATCGTAATGTTCCGTTCTGGCGCATAGTATGTATGAAACGCCGTGGTTTGGCGTGTGCGTTCTATTTTATTTTAGACAAGACTTGACGGCTGTTTAAAAAAACTTCATGGCTCTTTGTTCGATTTTGTTATACCATTGCTTAGGTTTTTCGTAAACAACACGAACAAAACAACGTGAAAATTCAATGAAGTGGGCGGAAAATCGTTATTGTATCCAGTGAAAAACCTAGGCATTTCATCAAGACTACCTGAGCATTGAACTATATCTCTGTAACCAATGGAGGAAAAGATGGACAGTGAACACAGTTACAGTGGGGAGAGCAGCAGCTCTTCCGAATCATCTAGCGGCAGTTCAGAGGCAGATGACGAGGTCTTGGAGCCGGTCCGCATCTTGGGACAGTCTCTAGAGCTTCCTCAAGAGTTGTGTGAAGACTACTCTGTTTTTAAGGAGTTTTTTTCTATGAAAACATGGGATGCTTTGGAAGATAAACATAAAGAAGAACTAAGTAAATACTTGCCCCAATTTACAGAAAATGAAGAAGAAGAGAAAGAGAAAACCATCAAAATGCTTTTTAATCATGAACCCTTTCATTTCACATCACCTCTTGGTGATTTTTATAACAATCTAAGGCAGGGTAACTATAGGCCAGATATAGCTAAAATGAGAAAATTTTTAATGAAAGCTAGGGCTAAACAGCAGAAACATAAGGTGAATATTATTGTAGCTATCCTAACAAGGCTCTCTTCATTCAAAATGTTTGAATAATGACAATTCAGAAACATTATGTTGACAAACAAACTTTGTTTTCCAGATTAAGTCTTACTATGCTAAGTTGTTACCAGAAGTGTTGATATCTCGTGAGCGCATATTAGCAGCTGCTAAAGCAGCACCACCAGGTCCCATTCCACGTCTTCTGTTATTACCACCAAAGCCATCATCAAAAAACAATTTTAAACCTCTGTACTTGAGAGCTAAGCAGAGATATTTTGAAGAGCTAAATGCTATTAGAAGTGAGGTTGGAGGAGAAGAATCTGAAGATGAAAATTACCCTGAAGGTCCTCCAGAACAATCAACAAGAAAAAGGAAACAAGCTCAAGGCCAAGTAAATAATAAATTCCTTAGATTTTGCATTGATTGTACAGGGATAAGTTTTAAAATGTATATTATTCTTTCAGCCTACTGATGGGAATGTGTCTGGCACATTAGGTGGTTCTGATCAGTCAAACCTAACATCTCTGAAGTGTTTAAAAAATGTTTTGGCAGCTCATAGGACAAGAAGACAGTATAGAGAGGTAACCAATTTTGTTGGCATGTTTACATTACACATTACTATTATTTCAACAGACATATATGCATGACAAATACCTTGTTGCTTGAAATTAAGTATTTTAAACTATATTGATGACACATGTGATATTAAACCTCAGTTTCATAATATCTGGATAGCCTCTAAGAACCAGATATTTTTTCAAATAGAACATTATTTGGTATAAACTGTGCACCACATAAGTTTATGAGAAGCTTACTTATATTAAGAATTCTGGGTGAGACAGGTGCTTGCTTGATATCACAAAAAAATCATTTAGCATATAGTGACTAAACCAAAATTAATATTATGTGTATCTCTAATATAGAACCATCCCGAACTAAACACAACAGGAATTACAATTGATGACATCAAACAGAGAGTGGCCCTTGTAAATGGTGCTAAGAAACTTATGTTTGGTGGACCAAAAAGTGGATCACCATTACAAAAGCTACGGAGAGGTCCGAAGAAAGATAGCGGTGGTAAAAATAAAGGACAAGAAAAAGCTTCCACTAGAAAAGCAAAGGAAGAACCGTATGAAACAGTTGAAAATAAACCTCTTTTGCCAAATATAAAGATTAAGAGTGAAAGAGAAGAATCTGATTCTGAAAGTTCATCATTTGTAGATCCCATTACTAGTCCTAAATCTTCGAAAAAGGTTGACCATGTAGAGATTAAACAGGAAGTTATTGATAAATATCCAAGCAGTATGTCTAAGTGAGTAATATTTTTTCTTTCTCTAAATAATTTACCTAATTTATGTCAAATTTAATAAAATGTTACCTCTTCATGGATGGTGGAGATCTTTAGGAAACCTAGTGAAAAAAATCAAAATTTGCTCAGAATTATATAATTCCAGTTTGCTTCAATACTTGATCTCTAGTTATTATATTTTTTACTGAATCTAATATTTATCACGATAAATGGTTCACAAAAAAACTTAAACTTTATGGTTCTATAATCACGAAATATTTATTTTACAGTATAAACTATAGTGACACAAAATTAGAAAGTATAGTGAAACAAGAACCACCTGATACAATAATGTCAATGCAGAACTCTGCTAGAGGACCCATACATCAAGCTGTCCCAATCAAATTAGAGGATTTAGATGGAATTGGTAAGTTGATCAACAGACTGATGCTAGCAGAGCATTTTCCTTTAACAGTTTTCACTTGGTAGTCAAAAGCAGGTGGAAGTTAAAAAACAAAACTTAATTCAAATATTTTTTGTGTATTATTTCAGATATGATGGCTCTCCCAGTAGAACTAGCAGATGATTCAGGAGAGGTCATTCAAGTGGAAACCTCAACAGAGACAGTGGAGGAGACCTTAGTGGACCCTGATGAGTCTTTGACAGAGACGACGCATGCAAACTTTTTATCTTTAGTGCGAGCTTTGTTCCCTGCTCGAGCGGCACATCGAGCCTCTAAGCAACAGTTGCATGCGCGGTGCGCTGCTGTAATGAGGTCGCCTATAGCTCCACTTAATACTTGGTATAATTGTAAGTAAACCAAGAAGTAAAGAAGCTTTCATTATTTAATTGATATAGAATACGCAATTATATTAACTTACACAAAAACAAAAAATACATCATAATCAGTTGATTCATTCAAAAGCTACCATTATCGTAAAGTCATACACACACTTTTTGTGACAGTGTGTTTTCTATAGATAGTTCATGTATGTCATATTTTATGTTGTTATTGACATAATTGTAACTATTTCAGTATCGGATGATTGGTGTGGAGAATTAGATTCCGCCCTAGATTTCCTAGCAGGAGAAAGAGGACAACATCCAGATGACTATGTACCTTATCTACAGTTTTTACCTGAATCACAGGTTTGTACATAAAATAATTAGCTCATTTACTATACTAATATAATTAATGTGTCTTTTATATCTGTAAATCATATGTTTTAATACTTATGCAATTGTATCTTGAATTAATATATTGTTATGGAATAAATATATGCTTATCATGATGTGATTTATGAAGATGTATCAATGGATTGGTGCGGGTCGTGACTGCGATGCCATACTTGGGCGTCTATGTGAGCGATGGCTTCGAGCTGCCTCGTCACCCCCGCCTGCCAGAGAACCGCCACCGCCTAGGTAATATAAAATACTCCCCAAAATATCCTTTCCTTCCATCAGATCATAAGTGTGAGGGGACTGAAGGATAGTGCACCAGTATTTATCAGATTGAGTCTGAGATTGAAAACTATTATATTTTTGTTATAACACAACACATCTTATAAAAGGAGCTCTTAAACTGACCTTTTAGTTCTACCTGTAATTTGGTGGCTTTTCAATCCCAATGCCTTAGACAATCTCAAAATCCCGTTGTTGCAATTGCTATTAAATTATTTGATAGTTCTCATTGGTCATTGGAAGAAACAAAATAAGTATAATTTGTAAAGGTGGCAGAAATACTACTGTTCTTGAATTATGATTAAGTATTGAATTAAAACTACAAAATGTATTTTTCTGCAGGCATCCTACAACATGGTCAGTCCGTCCAGCAACTGAATCTGAATTGATTGATTTCCGCACACAAGAACGAAAACGATTCTCAATGGCTGCCAAACCGTTTACTTATATTCAGTACGGGTAAGTTTTAGTTTAGTCTTCTGTTAAAACTCCTTTATGATTCTGTTATAGTGAACAAAATGATGTAAAGTATAATACATCTTTCTTCTTCTTTATTATAGTTATATATAGTATATAGTTTAGCATACTATATTTTCCATTCAAAATCTTTAAAAACTCTCAAATCCTCTGTACTCAGCCAAAATGAAACAGGTGTCCTACCTGTTTCATTTTGGTACTTTAGTTTAGTACTCGTAATATTAATTAATGTGAAAGTTTGTTAATAACTATTGAATGAATTGTGATGAACATTGGAACAGAGATAGATAAGTTTTAGAATAACACATAGCTGATTTTCATCCTTTGAAGCTTGAAGCTCCGCTTGTTATTAAAAGAATGCTTGTGTTCTGTAGGTACCGTTCAGTAGTGGGTCCGGTGGTGCGTGGGTCGGGCGGCGGGGGCGCGGTGCTGGTGAGCTCGCGGCCGCGCCACGCCGCGCTGCCCGCGCTGGTGCGGGACGCACTCGCGCGACTGCCCAACGGGGAGGGCACCAGGCACCATGTACTCACCTTGTTGAGGTAAGCAACTTATACTATATACTGCTATGCAAGTTATGCATACTGCAGTTTCAAGCACCCAGTGTCTCCATCATCATAGTTAGAATCTTTTTTTTAAATGGTTTACACTAGCATTTTCTCCTGTGTCTTGGTGCGTTTACAAACATACAATTTAATACACATCATACCCAAACAGGCATTGCTAGGGAGTCATGAGCAGCGTTGCAGCGAACATCGTGCAGTTGACTGATTTGTAGTCTTAGGGCTGTCTTGTAGAAGAACTTAAAATATATTTAAAATGACTTAACTTTAAGATAGCGGATTAGACTAATATAAACCTTTAAATTGGTTTCTCACCATAGTATCACGTATCATATTCAACAGCTTGAGCAAAACAGGGTAAGGTACTCGTTTTGCTAACATTCTATAAGCGCCGTACACGAAGGAGCAAATAGACCACCTAAATAGCTAATAATATGTTATGTTCTTTAACATTTTACAGAATGTCACAATGGGTAGCGCCATGCAGTGATCAAACCCTGCTTAGCGCAGTTTCTTCAGTATTAGATAGACTTCTGTCAGCCAAACGTGATCCGGTTGTCAAGTACGACCAACGAACTGCCGTATGGACATATCTCCATAGGCATAGGTATGTGTTTCTGTACTATTTTTTTTGTGATGAAGCGGTAAACGATCTTACGGATCGCTTAATGCTCAGCAGTCGGCATCACTCAAGCCGTCAGAGGCGTTACAAGTACGTTACCGGCAAAGGTTTTGAGGATTGAATTTTATAATCTTAGAAGTTACGAATAATAGGTAATCAATTCCTTTCATTCATTCCTAAATATGTATCTGATACATACAAGCATATGATATTGTTACCATATAGTAGGTTCCCCATCCGGTTTATCCCACCAAATTAAACGGTATCAATACTCGACTCGACTAACGAAGTAGTCAAGTCAGTTGTTTTGGAATCTAAAACTCTGTTTTGTCATCCAGGAGTGAAGAAGACTGGTTAAAGATATCGAGTGGTAGGTCGCGGAATAGTAAAATGAATTCCATGTTATTGTCCCCGCTACCTTCCACGTCGAACCCTCCGCTGCCGGTCAGGACAACTCCTCTGTCCACGTCCAAAGAACCGCACCATACACCACCACACGCGGTAAGTTACAAAACCTGCATATTGTCTATATTTATTTATGATGGTTTATCAGTGAAATTGTCATCAATGTGAATTTTTATTTCAGCACTTGGAGTTAGAAGTGGGTAGTGTTGAAGAAGTAGTTGAGAATGCATCCGACAGTGATGTGGACGTGGATGATAGTGGGCAGTCGTCTTCAGTCCCACACTTGTCCTCCGCTCAGCTACTTATGCAAGCTACCCAAGCTTCGCAAGGCAAGCAAGTTACATTGCCACCCAAACCGAAAGGCAAACTCGTCGCCGCACCCCCGCCGAAGGCTAAGGCACACGTAGTCCCGAAACCTGCTTCAGTGAAACAACCTGCCAAGCAACAATCTGCTCTAATGGCTCAGTCAGCAAAACAGGCAAATCTACTCGCACAAGCTGTACGGCAGAGCAATGTGAATCAAGCTAAACAAACCACCATTATACAACCACCGAAGCCACCTGTACCGCAGTCGCCGAAACAAACGAATGTACCACCACAAACGTCGAAACCAGCAAACGTTACCCAGGCTACTAAGCAAGCGGTTATATCTCAAGTAATCAAACCAACCATAGTGAAGCAAGCCACTGCTCAGCCCAAGCCACAGACTCCGACTGCCCCGGCGACTCAATCTCCCAAACAGGTTCAACCTCAACAGACCAAACAGATTATTGTTAGTCAAACTTCAAGTCTCTCAGGACAGCTGTCGAAATCATTGCCTTCTGTAGTGGCACCACCCAGTAAGTCGCCTCTGGTTAAACAAAGGCCGCTACAGAAAGTGGAAGGGTCGCAATCTCAGGTATGTCGCATGTACACAAACTATTAGTTAACTTGCTTTTTGTTGACACGTATATTTAAAAAAATATTTTTAACACAGGTTATAAACACTACGGCAAGTCAATCAAATTTACAAACTACAACTGTGGTGCAACCATCAAGTACAGCTACTGTACAAGTTCTTCAAAATAAGGTATGACACAATCCCAACATTATTTATCGCAAGTAAATTAATTATAGCTGTACTACTTATGAAAACTGATATATTTTTACAGGTCACTCCAGGCACCCGGTCTCTATTGATAAGACCGACTGCAGTTCAAACTACCGTCACCGCAGTAGCAACCACGCCTGTTACTCAGGTAAACCACGATTAATAAATTGTTGTCAAACTAAAATATAATAGTCTGCTAACGTTTTGTGGGAGGGCCAGCTTTAAGCAACACTTGCGTTGTGTTTTGCTGTTTGAGTAAGAGCACCGTAGGATCAAACCTAATCACCCCCCTCCATTCCCAATTCCCCCAATCCTCAAATCCCTAATTATCGAAAGACAGGCAATGCACTTGCAACTGCTCTAGTGCTCTAGATTTCTATGGACGGACTGATTGCTTACCATCAGGGGATTGGTCTGCTCGTTTACCACTCTTACCCATAAAAATATGTTTTTATTGCAGGTAACACCTACTTCTAGACGCGGTGTAGTCAGAGTGTTGAGTCCAGCAACACCGGCATCAGGAAAGTCCCTCATATCGCCGAGAGCTTTAATGCAACAAGGTGCCACTGCCGTCAAGAAAAGAACACCAGCACCAAATACTGTGTCTGTCACTACTGTTGCGCAGGTAAACTATTAATTTATAAAATTTATTTGAATAGGGAGAATTTCCCAAATCGTTTGGAAATAAAGATCATATTTCTGCAAATAGTTTTTATTTTATAGGCATTAAAATTTTTGATAATTTTCCGGTGTGACATCGCAGTACCAAAAAGTAGTTGACAGCGGTAATAAAAGTTGGCATTACAATTGACAAAGAAATCCAAAAACAGGCTGTCAGAAAACATTTTAAAAATAAATGGACTTACGTTTGCCAACAAATTGAGTCGTAAAACCGTTGCTGCCGATTGGCGATGAATAAAACGACTGCAAAGGGCAAATAAAGTTGCTGTTGCAGTAACTTTATTTGCCCTTTAAAACTAAATTGTTTTGGTAAAACCAAATAATATTATCAGACTAGTGTACTGTTTAACCTGTAAACTTTTTAAATTAGTAATTTATTATATTATAATACACTTATATGACACATACCTTTGCACCTATTGAATTTTACTAAATCCATGCCATGGACACTTTAAAATACTATTCCAAAATACACAGGTGAAAATTTACTCGATCTTTATTTAGTTTGGCCTTTGTTTTTATCTTCATTCTTCAACAACTGACCCGACGAACTTCGTATCGCCTTAGCCCTTTGATGCACTACTTTTTTTTGTATAGCTGACAGTTGTCTCTCTCTGGGTATGAGATGATATTCAATTTATTTGAAATGAAATCTATATCCTCCTCATCAAATTGAATCCATATTTCCCTAGGCTCGCCATAACTGAGAAGGAGTTTACTAATTTAACAATTTTATTAAATAAAAAACTAAATATATATATTCGTTATATTAGGGATAATTCCATTTTTACGAATCACTATCAAACAACTTGGCATTTTGAAGTAAACACTGAGCTCAACACCACGCGCGCTCTAGGAAGTTCACTTCGCGCTTCGCATTGCTGATCAGTTAGATTTGCTGTTTTATATTTTTTACTTACAGTATTTCGATTTGCATTGTTCAAAATGAAAATTCAACTGAAAATAAAAAAATGCTCCCATATATTTTCTGTATAACCATTTAAACCAAATTGTGTAATATTGTGTAGTCATCAAAAGTTACCAAAAAAATATAATAAGCTGTGAACGTCATTAATAAAAACTTATCAGCAAACAAAAAACTTATTAGTCTTTAAAACAAAACAAACTTTATCAAAAGTTAAGAAAATCTCTCTTTATCAAAAGTAAAATTATTTTTGGCGCGGAATTATGTATGTCACAAATTACCACAGATTACTAAATAAGTTATGCTAAGTTTTTATATTATGCATTCTGAAATCTAACTCATAGTATACATATTACATTATTATTACTTACTTAGATTAAAATGAAATCATCATTGATAATATTAATATTACCATCAAAATCGGCAAAAAGTTATTTTGAAAAAAAATAAATTAGTGCAATAGAATTTAATTAAGTAACCGCGTTTCTAAATAAACAATTCTCTTTCAATATTGTCTGTGGCCGAATGACATTGACATTCTTCACGCGCGTTTTTTTTTAATTTGCTAAAGAAATGTAATTTTTTCCGGGAGAGAGTAGGTCTTTAATAAAGGTTTACTAATAGCGTATACAACGTGTGATAAAAAATGTCTTATACAGGGTGTAAAAAGACACTTAACGAAGCCGAAAGCCACGTATTCTACCCATTATTTTATATATTTTTTTTAAGACCATAGCTGGGACTCCATGTATTCTCGAGATATTGAAGGTAAAAGATACATTTTTAAAATATTTTTTTGCGCAGTCGAATTCTAAGTACTATTACAAAACTTTTCCAAACAAACATTACCTGAATTTTCGATTGTTCTAACTAAATAAATAACGCATTTGAAGTTACGAACAGTAATGTACGTAATAAATAAATACAGACCCGCACAAAAAACATCGTGCATCTCAGTAGGATTTTTAGTTTACAGAATTGTTTTGTTGTTGCGAGGTAAAACGTCGACCTACGTCTACGTACTTATCACAGCGTTTTAATGCTAAGCTGTGAACCTACGCACACAATGACACGAAGCCCGTTTGCTTTACATTGGGTGCAATAATTTTTTTTTTGTACCTAACGGTAAAAGTCGTTTCCCAGTGATAATTTTAGCGTAAAGCTACTTAGTTAGAACTGCAGTATGCGTAGTTAACGGCTTCGTTAAGTGTCTTTTTACACTCTGTATATACATTGTAGGTATGTACATTAAACGGATCACTACAGATTATACAGCCAATTACACTGCTATTTATCTTATTATTGCAAAAGTATTGGTTCGATTATAATTCGGTATCAAATAAAATAAAAAGATACGCGAAAAAGGGACAAAAAACATATGTTTTGTCTCGCTCACACCTACATACATTACAATTTGCACTTTCTTGCTCTAATCATTATTATTATTTTTTATTAATACCTAGTCTATTCCCTTCTCTGTCTACGATATTTGTCAATCTTTTTGAAAGATTTACTCGCAAGTCGCGTCGCATCATATTACTTATGAATTGCAAAGTATACTTCTTTCGCTGAAATTTGTTAAAATTCTCCATTGAAATGATTCATTACAGAGTACAGGTGGGGTGACGGCAGTTGTGAGCAGTGTGCCCACGGTGGTGACGTCGTCCGTAACTACTCGCACGGTACAGCTAGCTGGTGGGCGTACCGTACAACTTGCGGGCGGGCAGTCCGTGCAGCTCGCTGGAGGACAGTCTGTGCAGCTCGCAGGGGGGCAGGGCGTGCAGCTGGCGAGCGGGCAGGGCGTGCAGCTGGCGAGCGGGCAGGGCGTGCAGCTGGCGGGCGGGGCGGGCGTGCAGCTGGCGGGCGGGGCGGGCGTGCTGCAGCTGTCGGCGGTGCGGCTGGCGGGCGGGCACACGGTGCAGCTGGCGGGCGGCCACACGGTGCAGCTGGGCGCGCCGCTGCGCGTGCAGCCCGCCGCCACCAAGAGCCCCACGCCGCGCCCGCACCACGCCGCCGCCGCCCTCAAGGCCGTGCCCACCACCCAGCCCGTCCAGATCCCCGTGTCCACCGTGCAGTTAGCGGGGCAGACCGTTCAGATCGCCGGCCAGACGGTTCAGTTAGCTGGCCAAAGTGTTCAATTGACCGGTCACACCGTCAAATTACCCAGCGGACAAAGTGTTCAAGTAGCTAGTCAGAGTGTATTGCCGTCGCAGAGTGTTCAACTGCCCAGTGGCCAGACCGTCCAAATAGCTAGTGGAAATGTTCAAACTGTTCAATTGAGTGGATCGAACGTTCAATTATCTGGCCAAAGTGTTCAAATGCCGAGCGGACAAACTGTTCAATTAGGATCCCAAACAGTGCAATTAAGTGGGCAAACAGTGCAACTAGCCGGTCAATCAGTTCAATTACCGAGTGGACAGACATTGCAACTATCTAGTGGACAGACTGTTCAGTTATCCAGTGGGCAAACATTGCAGTTGGCGAGTGGGCAAACTGTGCAGCTTGCTAATCAAACACCGAAGTCAATAGCTCAGGTCGTTCGAAGTCAGGCTACTGGCGACAAGACAACTAGTGGGCAGCCAATAGTGGCTAAACTATTGACCAATGCACAGGTGAGATATAATAATGAATGGCTTTTTGGCTTTTAAATATAGATTCGACGTCAAATAAAGATAGTAGTTGCTGTTTTATAAACAGATTTGTGATATTTTTGATAAGAAAACTCAACTAATTTCACACTAGCTGACTGTCGTCCGTCACGCAAACGAGTATTACGCATATGAGCCCTGTGTGGCTCGAAACTAATCGAGTTACTTCGTCATGAGGAGTTTTAGTTAATTTGAATTGTTTTTGTTGATGTGAGATGTATGTTATGCAGGGTCAGATGCTGTCCCTGGAGGGCGTGGGTGGCGGGGCGCGAACGGTGCAGGTGTCGGGTGGGGTCCGCGCGCGGGGCGCCGTGCGGGTACTGTCCCCCGCCACACGACTCGCCCGCCCATTACTGCTCACCTCCGCCAAACCACTGCATAATATTATATTACAGGTACAATACTTAACTACTTAACATTTTTATTTTTGACAATATTTTTTTTTTTTAATTTTGCCACATGCAAGGAAAACATCGTGAGGAAACCTATTGAAATTATAGCAATAAAATTAAACCACCTCGATCAAGTGTCATGATTACTGCTCATTCCTTTTCCTTGTGAGAAGATGCCTTTGCTCAGAAGTGGGCTGATGACGATGATGTTGTTTAAAATGGTTCCTTTACCTGACTATCATAATCGTCAGCTCAAAAGGATAGTTTTTCCATCCACTGCTCAATGCCAAACGGCAATCAACAGTTGCCTGTTATAATGTAGAAGTTGTCTATCAAGACAGTGGCTTTTATTTTCATATTCTTTTTCTTTAAATAAGTAGAGAAAAATAATAGATTTGTACTTATCTCATGATTAGTAAAATTGAAAAATCAATCATAACTTGTCTCGTGTTATTTTTCAGCAAAGTGATGGCAACACTATCAGAGTAACGTCGAGTGGTACTGTCTCATCGTCACAAACATTAGTATTAAGTAATATTGGTAAGTAAACAGTTTAGTGAGCGATATTTTTGTAATAAATATCGTGATATTATAACAGATAAATTCATTTTAGGTGCTCAAACAGTTACAACGTCGTCGACCTCTGCGCCCGTCTTAAAATTGCAACAGGTAATTTTTTTTTTAAATATTTTATACTTTATCATCATTTCACACGTTTGTATTTTGAAAATTTCATTATGAATAAGTTAGTGTCATAAAATATTTATCATTATTTTAGGTGAATCCAATACAACAGGTTAAACTCGCGCAAGGGATAAAAATTCAACAGGTGAATTTTGACAGTATGCATGTTTGAAAAACGCTTCAGATTACAGACTGAGTAACGTAGTTCGACAAGTTTTGCATGATTTTCGCGGCGGATAAGAATAATATTGTTTTCCAACAACAAAATGTAGAATAGAATGGATACAGTAAGGAAAGCGGAAAATTAGCATTTCGAGGCGTTATCCTAATTTAAAATGACATTTCATCACCATGTAAAAGTTATCATAAATAATATTTTTAAATTATGGTATGTTGCTGATTTTTTTTATAAATTATCGTGTATCTCGTCGTTCTCTCATTCTCTTATTCTATAATATCCTGCTCTTTGGGGAGTTTACATTGATAAATGTATAGTGATCTATTCAGGTTAGTCATAAAATCAGTAACAAAAATATGTTCATTTTTCCTCCAACCAAGCGTTCCCGAAAAAATATGTACATACCTAGTCTAGCCATAAATACTGTAACAAATAAAAAAATATTTTTTCTATTGCAAATAACATTTACTACTTTTACAGTATGTAAGTTTAATACATAAATATAAAACAATTTAAAACATAAAAAGCTTATTCGAAGTGGTCTCCATTGGCTGCAATACAGTCCTTTAAACGTTGAGGCCAGTTATCAATAGAAGCACGCACTCTTTCCATGGGAAAATTCTTCACTGCCAATCGCATGGATTGTTTTAGGGAGTCCAAATTATCATGCCGTTTAGAGCAAGCCCTACTCTCTAAAACTGACCATAAATCGTAATCCAGCGGATTTAGATCGGGACTAGAAGACGGCCAGTCTTCAGCTCTGATGAAGTCGGAAACGTTCGTTTCCACCCAAGACTGCGTGGACCGAGCTTTATGACCCGGCGCCGAGTCTTGCTGGAAGGACCATGGTTTTGTTAAGGAGCTTAACTACCTTTTCAAGAATGGTATTTTGATACACTTGTGCCGATGTTTTGATATCTTTTTCGCAAAAGTATGGCTCAGTCACTCCTTCATAGCTAACACCCCACCAAACCATCACTGAAGTCGGATAATGCCCACGTTGCACTCTGTCGACTAATTGAGAAGCTTCCTTAGAGCTTTGAGCATAAATACGGTCATTATGTTTGTTAAAATGTTGCTCAATTGTAAAAAAAATCTCATCCGAAAACAAAATTTTTCTGTGAACTCCCTTTGCGTATCGCTTCAGTAGTTGTTTAGATTTTATCACCCTATTCTATTTTAAATTATCATTTAAAAAATCCTAAAAGTCCTAAGTCGTCTTTTAATATACGCGACATGGTTCTAGGTGCTATCTTCATCTCCCGAGATAAAATCTTTTGCTTTCGGACAGGATTTCTTCGAATTCTTTCCCTTACTGCTTTGACCACCTTTTTCGTACGAACACTACGTGGACGACCAGATCTTTTTCTGTTACAGAGGAGGTCTCATTGTACCTATTAATAGCCCGGTACACAAACATTTGACTAATGTCAAGCGTGTGGAGAGTTTTAAAAATTGCATTTGGCTCCATACCCACTTTGTGTAATGCAATCACAGCGATTCGGTTCTCTTTATCACCCCACTCCATTTTAATATCGCAAAATATTGAACAATTTATTGGCGCCAAAATAAGAAAACAATGAAAAATTATATAAAAATGACAGATTCCAAATTCAAATGTAATATTTTGTTTATTTTTAATTGTAACAGTATTTATGGCCAGACTATGTATATTTCAGTTTTGTAATGCTATTCAAACTAATTCATCTTATTATATCTGTCTGTATCCATAAATCCATTCTGCAGTTGATTGACGAATATTCAAGTAAATATTATATTTTATAATCTGGAGGGCTGGTTGCATGTGTGGTTGGATGCGATGGAGAAGGTTACATAACACATATACATAACATTTAATATAATAATTTTATTAGTATACTCGCGACAAACTATTGCTTATTTTTAACAAGCACTACACACATTGTACTGTAGATTCAAATGACATAACTAGAATTTGATTGCTTCATAAAAAGATAATTTTGGACACGGAATTTGTACAAACTATAATAGCATGCCAGTAGAAAAAAGGGATACACTTACATTTTTATTAATAAAATTTTGACATTTTGCACTAGAGTATGGAAACAATAATATTTTTAATAAAATTTGATAATGAATGTAACTCTTTACTTATACGCAGTGCCTATAACTTAAACTACGTTTACTTATATCTTTTTATGCATAATTATTAAAATATTTCACCAAAAAATTCCAGGCTGTGACAAGTGCTGCGGCAACGACATCTAGCGGTGTTCGCAGCGTACTAATGGACGGGCAACAATTAAAGTTGGTGGGAGGGCGCCACGTTCTCGCAAGGATACTCAGGCCTGCCCATCCACCCCAGTAACTTTATACGAATTACTACACGGTAACATAAATGAAGGATTACTTCTCAGAGGCCTGTTCCATCACTATCATGTAAATAGATAGTTCATATGAATTACTTTATATATTTAATGTGGTAGATTTTGGTTTTCCAAAGTATGGGAAACCGGCCATAAATATTGAAAGGCTGAAACAAGATAATGGTAATCAAATTTACGTCGAAATTCCATTGTTAGGTTATGGTCTCGGTACTAAAATTGACCGGTCATTCATTGATCTGATAACTGATTGATGACTAGCTTATGTGTTGTAAATAGTTGTAGTTTCTTTAGTACTGAACCGCGTTTAAATTTTGAGATGAATTAGGAAAATTTTCAATAAAAGTACGATCGATATATTCAGATTGTTACCAAATCTAAATTTGTACATAATACAATACAAAGCTTGAATACGCCTATTACACATATATCTATTATAATATTTTAATTTTATATATTTAGAAACGAAATTTAGTTAAATTTAATTTCCTTATAAAGGGTATTGTACAAAATATAGTATTGTAGTAATAATTGGTTGTAAAGTTCAAGTTGAGAATATTTTTATAAAGATGAAGAAATGAATTGATTATATAAAATTCGTTATTTATTTTGAACTAACGAAAGTATTTATCAGTTTGTAACCGATGTAAGTTAAAATATTGTAAATAACTAATTATAAGGTTTTATTGGGGAACATTAATTTGATTATGTTAATTTATTGTTTGTATATACCTAGAGGACAAAGTGTACGTCAGGATATTGATGATACGAGAAAATCTTTTGTCTATGTAACTGTATATAATTTACTTCTAATATCCGTCTCCCTTACGAGTTTAGTAGGTTTCACAAGTCTATATATTACTATTACTATTGACAATTATTCCCATATTGTCGAAAGATCTTGATTGCAATATATTTTGATACTTACAATGTAATATCTTGTTTATGTGTTCCTTTTCTCTTTTTGTCAATATTGGGGCTGAGACTTTGATCCCCTTATCTAAAGTGACATAAGTCAATTGCTCCAATGAGTAAAACTTGTTTGTAATACTATAAAAAGCAATTTAATGTATGTTGTAGTTTTTAATATTTAACGTTAGGTTCGTATTACACAGTTTTTCACTGGTAGAACGAAATAAACTTGTGTATATAATTTCTGGTATTTTAATTTAAAATGATGTAAGTTTACCTGTTTTTACGTTAGTATATTCTAATCAGTGGATGGTACAGTTTCAGTAGTTGAAACAAAAGGCATTTCATTGTATAACTTACCTTTTTGAAGTTTTGTTATTTGACTCCATATAAATCTTGATAAATACTTCTTGAGTTACAGTAAAATACTTACCAAACTGACCTAATGTGACAATTAAATTTCTTAATAAACTAGTGCGCCTTACCATCAACGATTGCATCACTGCTTAACATCAGGTGGGATCGCAGTCAAGCACTGGTTTATTGCAAGTAAAAAAAAAAATAAAAATAATGTAAGAGCAATAAAAGAGCTTACTAAAGCAGGATTCTTTATCTGAAATAAATACAGCATTCAGGTGGGAAAACATAATTTATTTTATTACGTATGTACATGGTGTGTTCACAGCAAATACAAAATAATCACACTGCACAAGGCATTCACAGAACTAAGACTAACACAAAAGCTAATTGTAACAAATACTATTGGTACGCCACTGTGCGATGTTATATAAAATGTTAGCATGAATTATAATGTTCCACGTGTCAATATAGAGGGCATTTATTATATCCAAAACTCGCCTAAACACCTCTTCTTGCGCTCGATACGATTCCATAAATACAAATCGACTCGTGTGCAAGAGACTAACAATTCCTTCTACAGGGGAAACGACAATATTCAAAGATACTACAGAGGTATCACATTTTAATTTCTAACTACACTCCTCCCCTCCCCCCACATATGATTGTACTGTCATATTACATACCTAACATTGAATTACATAATACGTGTAAATGCATATATCCTTAGCACACAAAGTTACACATAAATTGAAAACGAATAGTGCCGTTACAAAACAACGCTTTAACAGGTTACACATCATTTAAATAAAACTTACTAGTATCTAAAAACTCAATCATATATCAGTCTTATAACTATGTATTTAAAATTATATAAATACGTAATTGAGATCAAAGTTAGATAATTGAAATGTATAGTAATAAAAGAGCGACGTTAAAACACAGATAATATAATAACATTACATCGAGATTGATATTATTTCATCTTATCCTAACGGGCTACACAAAAAATAAACGAGTATGCTTATTATGTAGATTTATAATACCACAGGTTTAGTTAATACTGACGAGTCGTACAATCGAAACTTTCAGAGATATGATATACATGGCGCGGCCGAGGCCGCTGCACGCTGCATCGCGTGTTGAGCGAACCCAACTCTATAGAACTGCATGTGATTGTGACGTGAGTACTGCGACGTGTACAGACAGCACTGCTTGATAAACATTCTGATAGCGTGATTTATGGAGTGCTGGCCTTATTCGACCGTTACACCCTATCTACATTTATTAATATGAATGAACAGAAGCTCCGAATGCCACCTCTTCATAGTTAGGTTCTAGCAAGCTCATAAGTATACTATCAATATCTAGTTGTCATGTTTTATTATGATGCCGAATGACATTATCATGAGTGGCAGGGAAATGGCCAAATCAGTTATTGGATCACGTTCTCTCCACTTGCTATTAATTTCATGACCATTTGAGCAGACCTTCGCTATTTCGATACGTACTGACTTTAAATGAAAACGTGTTACATTATATTATTATTTACTATAAATAATGTACTATATCCATTATAAAAAATAACCGGGTCATGCCATTCCCCTACGACCAAAGTTCTACATAGTAATTTATTCGTAACAAAAATATTTATAGCAATTTTGGCATTTGACACGTACCTACGACCCTAATTTACAATCGATTATCTAGTGCGATTACAAAAAATACTTACATATTATATCGTATCTCTGAACATGGAACCACCATCCGGCCTTCGCTGGCACGAGACCAACCGAATCGTACATTATATACAAACAATAGGCACTGAAAGTTTGAAATATGATCGGTGTGTAAGAAGACGGACACTGACAGGTCTTCTAATGCGACTTCGAGAAACTACAGTATTGCAGCTAAATTATTACAAAGTGCGTGGAATGCCTGATGTACAATTGAGGTGACAAGGACGCGTGCTCGATAGTACTGCGTTGCCAATATAATCACTTCGTATTCATTAGTCATACACACAAGCAAGATTGAGTATTCTTAGGTGAAACATTTAAGTTATACAATTTATATTCATTATAATTTAGTTAAAAATAGTTAAATAGAAACACAATAGGTCATTAGTCATGGCTGCCAGGCAGTTTCGAGAGAACCGATTCGAGAATAGACAGGTGCCACAACTTGACCTGGCTGCCTTGTGTTTGTGATTGAGTTAGCAGAGATGCTCTCGTCGTACGTTTGAAGCGTAAATAGCGATTACTAATTATACTTAGACGTATAGTTTTCTATAAACATAAAGTAAATGTTTTATTGGCGTAGAAGAACGGTGTTGTAATAGGTACTATGTACGATATGTACCGGAGTTGTACACGAGGCATCCTGCGGCCGCCGGCTGCTGAACAAGCGTGAAGCGTGTGTGAGGAAGGGACTCACTCCTCGCCCTCACCGTCGCCGTCTTCGGCGTTTTCTGCCGTCAACAGGTTGGTGTTGTCGTCAGCTTGAAGATCCGCGGTCAACTGTTGGAACAAGTGCCAGTATTATGTAAGACTGTAATAAACGTAGGTAAACATTGCTGTAATGTGTGCTAAATATGTTTTGTAAATAAAATAGGACAGTGAATAAAGTTGCTTACACCAAGTTTCGAGGAGGCGATTTGTGAGCGCTTACGTCGACGTACAGCGAGAGCCAGCAACAGCACCAATGCAATAGATGACAGGGCTGCCACTAGCAACGGCAGCAGTAAGTTGTCGCCAGGAGAGTAACCCTGGAACAGGGAACATTAATAGACCTAAGCTTAAAAAGGTCTTTCTAATTATGTTATACATGAAAACATTACACCAGTTCTTATCGGAAAGGTAAGGCAGAAGAACGCATACTAAATCTGTCCACTTCACATCAATTGAGCTATCATTCCTATATCTCAGAGGTAACTAACAGTGTTCCTACCAGCCACAATACCAGCTTGCGTGCTACAAATACGAGGATTTTTTATATATTGAAATAGCCTGGTTCTTAGCCTGACCCGACAATCAACGAGGTAGTAGGTTTTACTACAAGAGTTTCGTTTCGGCGTGCGAGGGTAGAACCCAGCGATCAATCTAAGTCTGACACTCCCTCTCGCTTTACCCAGGACGGGAGAAGTCATTGGATGATTTTCCCTCTTCAGAAAAAGGTGTTTTTTGTTTTCAGACAATCACTACACGGTAATATTTTGTAGTCCCTTAATGCAGTAATATCATTAGACTTTATCGATATGAAGGACTGCTCTCGAAGGTCGAGTGTGTTTGCGAGGCATGTGTTCTAGGTTTCCATTTTCAAATATCATAGCGTTTAGAATATTACCTAACTACGGTATATATACATATGGTAGGTATATCTAGTCTGAAAAACTTAGCTACCTATCTACTTTACCTACTCATAAACATACGTAGTTCAGAGCACATGTTCACATTCAAGATAAACAAATATTTGTTTCGTAGTAAATTTTAGGTAATTCCCGAAGTAAATTACCGTGAAGAACGAATGAGTAAATTACCAAATAAATAAATGGCTAAGTACCCGTTTCGTCTACGAAAACACATACCTTCGTATTAAAGAAAACAAGTGTTGTTTGTAACATAGGAAGAGATAAAATATAGTTATTTACATATTTAGACGTAACGTATAGATAAACATAGGAGAAAAATATAAACAAAAATCAAGTTAAAAAATAAATAAAAGGATAAAATATATTAGATTGGGAATATAGTTACCAATATCCTAAATGTAATGTCCCTACATATGTAAATAATTAAATATTCCTTAAACCTATATCTAACAATCTTGATGTAAACTAGTAGTACCTAGCATTAATTACAAACTTCAGTAGTTTATGAATGCTATGTATACCTATTCATGTTTTTGTTTTTTAAATGGTAAAAAAAATATATAAAAAAAAAGTTAGTTCCTACTTAGGTTTGTAAGTACATAGGTAGTTTTCAAATCAGTACAATCTACTGTCTGCGAAACTAGAATTTAAACTGGAAGATATATTCGAAACACTCGCACCTACTTGTAAAAACTTCTGTAATCCTAAGCGATTACCATAAATATGAAAAATGTAACATCGTAGTTTTTCATTCAAGGATATGTTTCTCTTATCTCGACTTTAGAAATAGGGAAATAAGGACCATTAAACATATGATCAAAAGACCTTCACGTAGGTACAGGTACCTAGGTAGGTAATAAGTTTGATTGAAATAAATATTTACGCCTCGCAGTTTTCTTACGAACTTTGAAGTAAAAAAATCATGGAAACTATTGGATTGATTTTAGTTAAACTTGGTACCTATTCATACGCAAATAATACCAAGTTACTAAAATTTTATTTAGTGAGTAGCTACATTTACGAAATATTTTTCCAAAGCAATAAGTCATTTTATGTTTGTATGGAAATGGAAATTTAAAATTGTCTTTTACAATCTCCTTAAGTTTTTTTTCGAATGAGGGATTATATTCCACGCTAATTTATTGCAAAAAAATTTTTACAACATCAATAAAACTACAATTAAACTTTGGCTCAACGGCCAGCCTGTAGGTACCTAAGCTCCGGAGATCGCCATGGCCAACACCGTTATGCTTTTTGCCAATTTTCCCATTCCCTTATAAATGTAATGGCATCCATATGATTCTTACAATGTTCATAATAATTTATTTGTCATTAACGTCGCATTTATTGGGTCATGTGGATTATAAGTATACAGTACCTACATCCACATGTGTTGGGGCCCTCGATTCGAGATTCAAGGGCCTACTCGTTTTCCTCTTTGTGATACAAAGTGGGATCATTTACCAGGAAAAAATGATGAATTCAAATATGTGAGGGTACTTTTCTGAATGTAGATTTGAAGATATAAAGATAGGTAGGTATTATTGCCCTTTTCACTTACTTATATTTTATTGTACCTAATCGACAATAGGTAGAATCGACAATGTGGTGGTGGCCCAGAAGTTAATGCGCCCGCTTCTCATGCATGAGGGTGTGGGTTAGAAACCTGGCAAGTACCAATGTGACTTTTTCCGAGTTATATGTATTTTCTATGATTATTTAGACACCACTGACAAACGGCGAAGGTAAACATCGTAAGGAAACCTGGATTTATAATTTCTAGTGATAGGTTTGAAATCGCCAACCCGCATTGAGCAAGCGTGGTGATTAATGATCTAACCTTCTCCGTGTGAGAAGGGGCCTTTGCTCAGCAGTGGGCACTTATAGGCTGATGATGATGATGATGACAATAGGTAGAAACGTCTACAAAGATTTGTTAAAATAGAATGCAATACTTATTCCCTTATTTCGAGAAAATATATTTTTTTCTCGAACCCAGATCCCTCAGTAAACTATAGTAGAGAGCTCCCTGTTCCATATTCATGGCTTGAGAGGCAAAAGGCGAGGCTCTAACCATTTTTGGGCAATTATCCAAGCACCATTCAGTTTTAAAAAGCTGCACATTTTCGCACTTGTATAATTTGCGGTTTTTATTATGATCTTTTCGTCGCGTATTCTCGTTTTGTAGACTTATTTTCCTAATTGCGGTTACAAATTATAATTTTTATTGACGATCAAATCTCCTATATTTTTTATTTCTTTATTATGAAGCTATTAAGTTTTAACCATAGTTTTTGATTAAGAAACTTTACTAGCTTTAGCCCGCGAATTTGTTCGCGTGAAATAGTGACTTCTTGCTTGCAGATTTTTGGTTTAAAAACTATCCTATGTCATTTCTCGAGTTTCAAACTATGTCTGTACCACACACGCACAGGTTCAGTAGTTTAGGCGTGAAGAAAAGACAGACAGACAGTTTCGTATTTAAGTAATATAAGTTTGGATGATCTATTACAACGCTGTCTAAGCAATCTTTTTGAAGCTACACAGCTATGAGCTTGCTATGTGCTAATTGAATCGCCAGTATTGAATGAAGGTCTTTGCAAACATGGAGCAGAATTTTGATGCTTCAAATGGGTTTTACCTGCCATTTAGAGTGTACTGAACCAGGATCAATAAGTTGTGACTCTTGCTTATAAATTACGCCATACTGAATTCTATTAAAGTTAAATTATGGTACTTAGGTAGTTTAAAAATTAAACTAGCACTTACTTGGGCAAGTTTTTAAAGTTTTGATTTCAGAAATGTTCCTGATTGTTGGATGTTTAACGTTTCCCTGATATGTTATTAGAAAACAAACCTCCCAATATTGAAAGAAAAATTGATGAAAAAATTCTTGTTTAGAAGACGAATTTCTTGAATTCCAATCGATATTCCGAAAATTCCAGACTATAAACATTTCTAGTTGGCACATACGACATATTATTAAGTCTCTTTTATCTTGAAATAATTTCTTTGTAAAGTTATAAAACATCTTAGCTTCATTGTGGTTCAAGAACTGTACTACATTACATAAGAATAATGATCAGCAATGGATTTCATAAATCAACTTGGTAGGATTTCCACGTCCGCTTTCATTAAATCACTCGATGTTATCAAAGAACTGTTACGATTAGACATGTTGAACACGCACTAGCGTTATGATTAAGTAAATAGGCAGGTAAACATTACATAAGTCTAGTATAAAGCTAGTTCTATGCAGTACGTACCGTCCATTGGAAATAAGATGACGTGTCAACGAATGGCCAACGTGCTCCATACCAGCCTGCGTCGCCGGCCTTTGCCACCGTCACTTCATCAGAATCAAGGCCAGCAGCTGCGTAATCTGGCTTCAGTGGAGGAAGTGAAAAAACTTCATCTACTTCCAGCGATTCCTTAAATTCGTCGTCATCATCTACCGACAGCATGGTATCTTTCAAATCTCTTAATTTGGAATTTTCACTAGTAGTTGCAAACTCAGTCGTAACAGGCGTCCTAGCTGTTGTTGCTTTTGTTGTAATAAGGACATCATCAAACCCTTTTGTAACAAAAACTGATTTCTCTGAAGGTATTTGCGTTTTAGAATAATATTTTAATACGCTACGCAATGTGATCGGTTCCGGAGTTACTGTCGCTCGGATTATAATGTCTTTTTCCCATTTTACTGATGTATCATGATTGGGTTCACGATTGTCACTGGAGACTGTTCCGATGAGTGGTATAACGTTATCCTCTGTGGGAATAGGTGGAATAACTGTGGATGACGTAGAGCTCTTCCACGATCGCAATGCTGGCATTGTCCAGGGAGGCGTAGTAGCTCTCTCGACAGTTACTGTCGATGGAACAGTGGATGTGGTCGTGGGAGGCGACGTTGAAATAGTGCTCGTCTCAAATTTCTGACCTAATGTCAATACAATATCTGGCGTCATTTTGAGTTCTTTTTTTCTAGACTTTACCATTTCACGCGCAGCAGATGCCATTGGTGCAGGAGTGTTGATTTCATGTTGACCTTGTTGATTCCTTGCATCGATGATATAAAGGGGAACAAGAGTTAGAACGAGCGTTGCAGCCATACTAGACAGTATCCATAAGGCATATTTTAAATCTGATTTCCTTCGAGCCCGTCGCACATGAATCGAGGGACTATAGTCTCGTCCTTTGCCCTTGAGGCCGCTGTTGCTCAGCACTTCCTCCGTTTGCGGAAGGATAGTGTACTGGAGACTGTTCTCGCCGTGCCGCACTGTCTTGTACATTTTGTTGCTGCTCCTACTTAGTTATCACAAAAGGAAACACTACTGTAACGTTTTTATTCACACTAAATCTTATCACATGCTCGTGTTTTCAGAGAGCTGAGAGGATCCGCGGTGCTCGCGTGTCTCGGTTTCGCGAGTCATCAACGTGAGAAGTCGGTGCGAGACATCGCGGCCACTCGCGCTTTGTGCAGCGAAGTCGGTGCGGCCGGCAGGCTGATGCCGTACCGCGCACGCGCCACAACATTGAGCGGCTGCGCGCTCCCCTATCCGCGGCGGCTCGTCGGCCCCGAGCTTTTGAGGTTATATGACTTAGAAGCCGGCTTCTATTTTACATCACGCCGCACGACAATAACAATAACATTACAAACTCTTTAACTAGGCATCTACACCGCCTCATTAGCGAGAATGAGCTTCACATTCACAGATACTTCATAATGGTGACGGCTGACTGAAGCAGCATCTACCCATGTTGGCAGAGATTGGTTGATGTTGAATGAAACGGAAAATTTATTTTGGGTCCACTTCGCTAATGTAATCGAAAGCCAATACCTTCGCCTGCCGAGTAAATTTAGCGTTCTAACTTAAACTTGATTGTAGGGACCGTTCATTATGTTGTTTTTCCGCGAGGGTTGATTTTGAGAATAATAATAACGACGACTCCTCTTTGCAGGCTTCCAGTGAAAAATTATGAGTCACAGACGGATCGTTTTCCCAGTAAATAATGAGTATGTGTATCTGATTCAGGTTTCGGGCAAGTTCCATTGATTTTGTTTTTTGCTTTCATTGATCCGACCCAATGGCTGATCATTTATCATGAAGTAAGTATACAGCGGGTTTGAGAGTTGTATTCGGGTATTATCAGGTTGCAATGAATTTATTTATTATTTCCATTTTAATTTAGGCTCTAACTGGCTTGCCAAACCTCAAGTAGAAGACCTGTGGCCTGTTGATAATGGCGAAGAAGATGATGATAACGAAGTATGGTATGTCTAATGTAATAGTATTATAGTAGTAGGTATTTAGTATAGTTAGTACTACAAAGAAAATATACTGAACAAAAATATCCATATCGCTTGCTCCGAGAGAACCGCAATTCTCAGTAATGAGGAACAGGACGCGATAAGGAGGTAGAACGTTATAGAACACATTACTATGGAAATCGTTTTGTTTCATATCCGTGACTTTTACTTTGAAGAAATACATAATAACTAAGCAATTGTTTCTCATACTCTTATACATTTGTTATAGCGTCCAGACATCGATTGGTGAGTTTGTTTGGTTGCTAAACAACCGGTGGCATTAAAATGTTCCGCAGTTTCAAAAACAATTGTAAACACATACAAAATAAACTACGAAACTTTGCAAGTTAGGTCTAGAAGATTCATTTTGCGGTTGGACAAGAAAGAGTAGAACAAACTATCACGTCTTTAGCAAACCGGCTACCACCCGCCAATAATTAAAGCTTAGAAAAAAGTGTACAACGAGTGTATTAACATGTTTTTGCGGCCGGTCAAACAACGAACACACCATACGAATACTAATTCACTTGACCTTCAACAGAATCACGTTTCCTTTCGAAATTGGTTCGTGAATGCTATATTTTTAGAATAAAAGTAAAAAGAGAACGGCCAAACAGAATAAAAGGGTTGGTTGGACGGAACGCTTCGACTTTTTTGTTGGCCCACCATCTTTCCTACTTAGAATTTCGTAAGCGTTGAGTTAAATAAAGGTAGCCGCCTGTTCTGGGTGTTTATAACGCTTGTGGATATATCTGAAGTTCTAATTTTGATCACCAAAATACAGCATTTGGTCTTGTAAATGCCATCAGCTTTGTAGACTCTGATTACTTAATTATAATGGACAACCTTATCCTTTATCTACCTGTAGGATTATATAAATAGATTTTTTAAAATCAGAAAATGATAATACAAAACTTTTAAAACCTAATAAGTAGGCAATCCTACGTTGTTTTGGAGGGATTATTAACTTAGGATTATAAAAAATATATTGTCCGTAGATTTAATTCTAATATAAATAGTGCTGTGAACAGACATTGAAATAGGAACAAAAAGCGAGAAGAAAATCCTCCTGTTTATTTTGAGATCTGTAAACATTTTGTATAGGTATTGTTAAATAGTTCCCTTCTCAGTTCAAAACGTGAATTGTGATAATAGGTATTTGTTCCCCAGGGACAACATTCAAACTTGCAGACTCTTTGATATTGATATCGACAGACTTACATCAGCCTTATCTATCGTGAAGCTTTTCATATCAGTACCAATATTGACTCTGGTCATTTACATATCCTATCTGTTCTTGCTAGCGTGTGTTTGTTGAAGATTGGTATTCGACATTACATTTAATATTTCGTTACCATAGAAATTGCCCAATATATTATTATCAGTTGCAAGCAAACCTATTTTCTGTTGGACTCTGTGCTATTCCGAAAGCCCTGAGGACACAGTAGTGGTAGGCCATATCTGTTTACATAAGTAGGAAGATAATAATTTCGTTATTCCACGAATACCAATCTTCATTGAATATGAGGTTCGTAATCTTTGTGTCTACCGCTGAAAGTTGTGTAAAAAATTTTTTGGCAGTCAAACCATGTGCTGTGATGTTGTCCTATTTAACACGTGTGTAGTCCACATTTCAATTATGGCTACCATTTACTGACACACTCCACTTATTAAAGACTCTCTGTCTATATGTACTCGATCTAAATTGATAACAGTGCTGACAAATACATCGTCATTTTTCCAGATCGACCAATGGCGTACACCACCGTCGAATAACGATATTTTGATATTTATTTATATTGAAACCAAACAGAACTGTTGATACACATTATACTGTTCATGTATCAATGAAATGTACTAGGAGTGCAGCAGAACGCTGGAGTCTACCGCGGCCTGCATTAGGGCGTCGTTTGCTCTAGTACAATGACATCGACAAAGCAGCTATTTTCGTAAGCCGCTGGAAGCCGGCCAGCGCTGCGGGGCATCGCGTAAATAAACGTACATGACAAACGCATGCTGCGCTCTCTTCGGGACGATTTCGACAAATTTAGTAATGCCCTGTAGGAAGCTATCGACACAAAATATGGCCCGACACCGAGCAACGCACACACTAACGATAGCCCAGCGAACTCTCACACCAGCCAGCGTTGGGAATGTAAACTACCGCGTTTATTAATAATTGCATTACTGTAAACGTATCTAATACACCAAATATTGACTTCTTTTTTTAAATATTTCCTAAGGCTTAAGAAAATAAAAAATTTTATTCAACATAACTGGTATCATTTGCAAATGTCTAAGTGTGTACAAATATTTTTTACATTAATTATAATAATCCTTTAAACACAATTAGGAGTAATTATGTAGATATTTAAAATAACCTCCACAACCTTGAGGGTTCAAAGCACATCCTGTCAGCGAGTTTTACGAGGTTTGCCTAAATAAACATTTTCACGAACACGTGTTTGGTCGCTAATGCAAGCGGGCGACCGGACTGCGACGACCGCTGGAGAACGAACCTCCTTTGTTGTAAAAACTCTATTTATTGCCACACCAATATTGTTCTTTCATCCACTTACAAAGCAGTTTCGAAGGAAGAAACTACACGTTACTCCACTACCTACCTGCTGCGTTGTAAATGGCATCAAACGTTTTTATTACAGCCTTTTTTTTGCCTGGTCTGGGCTTTCTAAACATTACTTGGTCCCTCGTCCCGAGCCTTGAGATGAGTTCTCTTTCCCTTATCTTATCCCCGAGAGGCTTACTGTGATAATAATTTAGGCTCAATCTTGCATAAAAACGCTTTTCATTTCAGATAAAATGGTTGAATTGATAATTATCTCGACAGTACCTTAAAGTTTTAATTACGGAAGGGTTTCTGTGATTAAGTGTGTTTTTGTTCAGAGCTTTTAGCAATGTTTGGGGAGTGTGTTGATGTTTTGTATAGGTTCAAGTCAATAAGCGTCAGTGATGTTTGTCAGCGTGACGGCGATGGGTGCATCGGCCGCTCCTGACCCTGGCTGGCCCAATGCCACGATATATTCGCTGAACACCGGCCCGGTGGCAGCTCGCCAACATCCAGACCCTTCCGCATCGTTAGCAAATCATCATTCTGCGCAAACTGTTGGGATGGCTATTTTCAGGAAAAGTATAGTGATTCCAGAAAATGCTTATTCATATACCTTTGTCCACCATTATTTCGAGTGAGGTAAGCTAGCAGCTTTACTAAAAACGAACTTAGTAAGGTATGTAAGTACTTACGTAAATACCGTTAAAATGGATCTACTTTTCATGCTATTACGAAACTAAAACGTTTTTATAGTTGACGAAATTTATTTTAAAGACGAATGCAATGTGTTAACAATAAATAATACTCAATATAGGTCGGCTTGATGTGGGGATCTGGCGATACTAATTCTAGACATTGCGATCATTGAATATTCCAGTTTGGACTGAATAATTCCTTGAGAGTTCGTTATAAATCTGTTATCAAGTGGGGAAGCTGGATTCATAGATAGTTTAACTGTTGATCAAGTGGTATTGGCAGGCAGGACTGTTGGCATTGGCATAGGTTCAGGACGTTGAACCCGGTACACGTGATGTATGGCCGTAGCGGCACGTGAGACTGAAAGTGCAAGTGCATTGTCCGATCTTGGCTATGACTAGCATTTAGTAGTTAGTTAAAGGTAGCAAAGAGTGGAAGCAGCT